TTCTTTGTTTAACCCATTCACTGGCAACTACGAGATGTCTCATAGTTCAAATTGATTGAAATTATTCAAGGGATAAGTTTATAGCCTTTTGAGTCACGAATTATTGCAAAAGAAGATCGTAAATTTTCTTTTGAAAACATAAATTTATTATCGCTTTTTATTATCAAAATAATAATCTAGATTACACATCTGTATTAAATCTTGACGCCTATAATCTAGATTACACATCTGTATTAAATCTTGGCGCCCAAGACAAAACGCTTGTCTGGCAGTGAATGGGTCTAATCTACTGTGGCGTCCACGAACAGCCGCCACGTCCCTGTCGTTCACTTTCTAACTTTTTCATTTCCACTTAACATTCCTAAAAGCTTCATTCAGCCTAACATTCCTAATATCACTTTTTATTATCAACATAATAGCCTGCATTACACATCTGTAATTACATCTTGACGCCCATGGCAAACGCTTCAAATTTGTCTGAAAGTGAATAGGTTAATCTACTGTGACGTGAACGTGCAGCCGCCACATTTTTACGATAGCAGCCTACTGAGCCATACATATACATATACAATGCACCACTCCACCCACCCTTCCCCCAAACATTTTTCTTTTTAATAATGGCAAAACTGTCAAACATTCAATTAAGAGCGAACCCGAAAGCCTCTGTGAGAAAGTTAATGAAAACTTCGAATCCAAAAAATCAAGAAGTCTAATACAAATAAATCAGAGTTGGCAACCATCACTTTGTGATTGTTAGTCTGCGCATTTTTATCCATTTATAAGAAAATTAAATGTGCAAGAAACTACAAAACACACACAGCATGCAATAATATAAAAAAGTATAAATAGTAAAGTTTATATTAAACATAATATCTGCAGAGTAAAATAAGTTCCTATTTAGAATCCTGTTTAGAATATTTCTCATGGACGTTATGCTTCATTACTTATTTAATAATTTATATTTTCCTTGTAATTTCATAAATATTTTTACTTCCAATAATAATTTGAATTAGTGATAAAACTCGAATCAAATTTTGGCAAAATCGGAATTATTGGGTTGTCGAACTTGATTTGTCAGCAGCTGCGAAATAGTTAAACAAGAATCACGTTAATTTCCTTTTTGTTCAGGATCTGATAATTGCGAAAATCACGCTGAATAAAGCAAAATAAAGGACCTGTAATATCCTGCAAAAGGATCTGCTTGTATCCGCTTCTCTATTGTACCGCCTAAATGTGTTTTATACGGTTTCAAGGTACACAAGATTCTATAATGATTCTTCACAAAAGAATACATCAAGAGACGTCAATCGAAGCAATATGGACTTGGTCGAATCAGCGAAACGAGAAAGATACGATATAGAAATTCAAACATATCTTGAAATGTTTATCGAATTCACTGTGTTTACGGGGAAAGCAAATGTACGAACGAAAGATTTTACCGGGAGCTGTTTCAATCAAGGACCGTGCGATGCATTTGTATAACTTAATAATCATCTACCTGCCCAGAACGATATTGAAAAGCACAATCGCTGATTCAATCTATAGTAAAAAGAGAACCGGGAGCGGCATAAATTTCGACGCTTTACGAGGATTTCGATGAACAATCTGCACTCTGCCATGGCAAAATATTCATTATCACGTTTGAAGGTTTCTAGTTATTTACACCGTACACGCTGCAACAAAATACAAAAGCAGCTCTTGCCGAGAGACACTGATACGCTTATCACGTAAAATGGTCGTGTATTAATTCCTGCTTGAAAGGATCGGAAATTATTTGTAAACGAGATATGGACAATGTTCTGTCCTTTCCTATTGTTACAAACACATAAATATAATATACAGAGTGTCCCGTGTAGTGTTATTTTCTTGGAAAATAATGAAGGCATCGATTTCATTTCTACTACAATTAAGTGACACAGGCGAGCTATAATTTAATACTATCTTCTATCTAATAAAATTTAGGACTCTGTATCCCCCCTAACAGTCATCCCAAAATGTGTTGCATCCTAAAAAAATAGCCTCCCTGTACCATCTGATTACAAAAAACATGAAGTCGATATCTTCTTCAATTTCTGAGAAAACAACTTGTAATGCTAATCACGGAACACCCTGTATATGTGATTTAAGCGAAGACAATAATTATTTTCATAAGTATTACAACATTCAATTGAAAATTTTTAAATAAATTGTTTTACGTCCTGCTTGAATGAAATATTATAATATATCAGTTCACGAGAATATTTCGTTATTTATTTGCACCTTTTGACAATACCTATTGATTTGTCCAATGATATTGCATTTCCAAATATTATTATACGAGCACACACATATATGTATTTGCTTGTATATGTTTAATTAAAAAGAGATAAAAGAAGTGTCGGAGATGTTAAAGTATTTTAATTGTTTATCTTTTTTATAAATTATACTATTTCTTTATGTCTTTATTTGATACCACTAATGATGAAATAGCTAACGTAAATAATACCGATATTTCATAATGCACTAAACATTGAGCCAATTTATTATGATACCTTTTTAAAGAAGCAGTTCTAAACGTTCTTTATTTCTTGTAAATAACTACACACTCACTTTCATATTTCATAAATTAAATAAAAAAATAATAAAGAAAAATTACATGTTTAAACCACAATTAAAATAAATTAATTGAACTTTTTGTAATTATAATAATATTTGATTAAAACTAATTTTGACGAAAACTGGTTTGGCTCAGCTTTATCTAAAGTACGTTAATACATGAGAATTAAAATAGTAGAAATGATTTTTTAAAGACCAAATTGAATATTAATTTCCAAAATTTTCACGGAGGGCGCCAGCTAACGGTCAACTTTTCCCTACTTTACCATCAGTTCCCAAAGACAGACAATATGTGCAAAATATGTAACGAATATGGTTAATAATGCTTAAATTCATTCTTAGATATATGAAAACGTAAAAGAATACTTTTTTATATATCAGAATATTCTAAACATCGCTAAAGAAATTTTCTGAAAATGAAATTATCGACAAACGGTACATGTATAACGAATGAACCTAACTAAACTAAAAAATTAAAATCACTCATAAATTATATACGTTTAAAGAATATTATAGACGAAAACACTAATTATTATCAGTCTGCCCAGTAATATAAACTTTATTATTATCGAATATTACTTCTCGTATTATTGATAACGTTGAAAATGACAATATCGACAAATGAAAACAGCACAACAAAGATGGAGACGCTATTGGTTACGGATACGACCAATCGCGGCGTGCAATTCACCTAAACCCGACAGAATGCGCCTAAAAACGACCCCAAGATGTTTGAAATCTCATAATACTATATTTGTTACTTTACGTATTTAAATAGTTTTCACACGCAAATGATTATTGTCCACTGAATTATGAAAACTTGTATTCAATAAAAGTATGACTAAATAGACTAAAAATAAATTTTCAATAGGGCAAAGGAAGATTTTTAAATATGCTTTTACATATAACAACTGTAATCTCATTGAGTATTTGAAAACGATCGAGACTTGTATCGTCTTTGTATCTGACTTTTTCACAAGAACAAATTAGACAGTGAAGAATAGTTTCGAAAGCTAATAATATATAAACTATTCCACTTACCCTGCAATCAAGCTACACGTACGATGTATTTTACGAACGGCAACCATCATGGCGGCGTTGATACCAGTTGGCACAATACACCCCCTCGAATTTCAATCGGTGACCTGTAAACAAATCAACGAAAGTTGAAATCAAATTTATTGAAATAAACACAGCTATAAAGAAACTAAACACAATCGAACTCCAAATAATTCGCGAAGCTTCTTCAAAGAAGCATAGTATCAAAAAAGAGAGAGAAAAAAGCGTGAAACCGATCAAACTTTTTTTATGATTCCAATGGAATTTTTAAATAAAAATATATCCATATTAAATGAAAGTGTTGATAGAGAGTTAATGAAAGTAGTAATAACGATTAGATGGCAGTAGATAAACTTGTAAAGAATACTTACACACTTATTGTTAATTAGTCCCAATAGTTGCAACAGGTCTTCTCGCGCCAATTTCCACAGAACGAATGAGTCGCCCTCTCGACTTGCGCCACCAAGCGGTGGATGAGTGAAACTCCAAACTCTCATTGGAATTTATATTTGTATAAGAAACGTTGAATGTTGTTGATCTCCGAGTCACGAATAACCTTATTAATATAGGATCATCCTACGGTTACAAATTCTATGCTTTTGTCTTTTCATATACAGTAACTTTAATATCTGGACACTTCGCAATTTTTGCTTGACTTAATGTTTTAACTCAATATTTATTCATTACTTTATCTTTCATCTTAGGCAACGTTATAATGGGACGAAGCAGACATTGGAAAATGCTTGAATAGTAAAGTTATTCACTGGATCTTGAGATAAACTAAATGTGTCATTGAATTCATGAGTACCTTGTTCAATGCAATACCTTAATTTTAGAATTATAACGTCATTTAATATGTAAATACATTAACTTAATTATACAAAAACAGAACACGGAAATTTCTCATTTGCTATCGTTTCATACTTCAAGGATACAATTGAAATCGGTTTACAGAGCCAACGTGCAGAGAGTGTGTAGAGAAAGTACTATTCCTCACATGGTCGGTAATTTAGTTCGCATACCTGCACTATTAGTCTTATCGATAATGAGTACACATTATCTATAACAATCAAACCAAATGAAAATATCACAAAATAAAAATCGTGCAATTCTTTGAATTGACTACAACGATTGTCCTGTTTGAAATCATTTTGAAAAATTAAAAATGTAACAATTTAGGTAAAACGATTATGAAATGTTACATAATTTATATGATATATTAATATAAAGGGTAAGCCAAAGAAGGTAAGGATATTAAGATAACAATATAAACAGGATGTCAATTTTATGTAATTCCATAAAATCTTGTTTTTACCATCAACGGATGACGCATGCGCAAAAGATTCCGGGCAATCTAACCAAGTCTAACAACATTGAGACAATCTACGACACCGTGAACTGTGACAAACTGACAAATAAGTGATTCGCGTCATTCATGTAACACGAGGAGTATTTGAAATTGTTTTGTTAGATGTTCGAACTGCTCTTACAGTGATATACATATAAATCTAATACCATGAATAAATCAGTTTTTGCTGTCTTCTTGTTAAGTTTATTTATTACCAAAGGTACAACAACAATTCGGTTAACATCATTTAAAAGGGTGTGGTTAATATTAACATGAGTCCATGTATTTACATCATATCATGTATTGTATTTGCAGGAAACAGTTTATACTGCTACAGATGTAACAGTAATCATCCTGGGTGTGGCACACCCTTAAATTGGTTATGGTATTGGGGAGAAACCTGTCCAGAATACGATGATAAATGTGTGAAAATTATTGAAAGAAAAGGAGGTATGTGTAAACATCTTTTAACATCAGACATTAAACACCTTTTGTCAGTTTGTACAACTACATCACTATATGTGTTTCAGCTGAAACTATTATAACACGAGAGTGTCTGAGCTCTGTTCGTAGCTTTAGAACAGACATTCCTGCCGATAGGTATGAAGGCTGTCGACCTGCTGCTAAGGATGTTCGATTAGGACATTACGTAAATAATAGCATCTCTCAATTAGATATTCATAGAGATTATTATGACGAAGTAACATGGTGTTTCTGTTACTTCGATCACAGATGTAATAATTCTACTACTATTACTGTTTCGACATTGTTATTGTTTATAGGTATTGCAGTACAAAAACTTTTTATTTGAAATAGTCACTAAACATCATAACATCATCTTTGAAATATTTATATTCTCAGCTTACTCAGGTTTAGTTTCTAATTGGCTTACTTTCAAATCATTAAATTAAATAAAATTCGTTTATTTAGCTACTTCAGGTGACCCTTGTACAATATGAGTTATAATTTAACAAACATCATTTTTCGTAAGAGTTTTTTCATGGTATGGAACTTAACCTATAATTGCATACCAATATAACACGAAATTCGAAAAATAATTGCAATTCTACTATTTCTCTTAAAATTTGTTACACTTGTATATAGTGTAAATAAGGATTTCAAATGAAAAATGTTATTATACAAAACAAAATACTAATAACAGTTTAATGAAAAGTCTAGCGGAACTAATAGTTATTAACAAATTTGTTCATGATTCATAGCCTAAGTGTAATATAATCATTTCATGGAAACAGTATTTACATACTAAGAAAGAATATTTAAACAAATGTTTAATTAACAACACTAATTTCGTATGCTTAGATAGTAAAGTGAAAATAAGTCAACATCAAAATCTATTCTTAGAAATATATTGCTTATAACATTTATTCCATCCAAAAGATCTGATTATACATTTTTAAGTATTACTATTTTTATACTAAATCATAGTGTTAAAACAGTCTTAGAATACTTGTATTTACTAAATATGTACAGGGTATGCAAACACATTGTTACTATACTTCAGAATCATAATTATTATAAAAAATGATTTGGAAAGTCATGTTTATTAAGCCTTTTTTGTGTGATTCTGTAAGGACTACATACAAGCCTTTAACGATCATTTTTGCACACTCTGCATTATTTTGCTTAAGTAATTAGCAAATAATGGAACATACTGATCTGCCGTCCATTGTTGCACAAACAAGTATTTTTCAAATTTATATAAAATACTAAATGTTAACTTTTATAATATTTTCTATTCAGAATTTGTAATTGCAATTTGTTGTGTTAAAACTTTAATAAACAATTGTCTCTTGTAATTTGTTTGTTTATTTAGACCTAAGTCTGTCTAATTCTGTGCTTTATGGAATTTGTCACAAACAAATCAAAACTTATTTTAACCTAAATTTTATTACATTCCTATTGTAACATTTTATGAAATGGAAATATTTGAGGGAAATGAATGAGAAATAAATAATTATACAAAAACATTATCTTTTATTACAAAACATCTTAGAACATACTAATCTTAAATATTATGATCAAATGATAAAAAATAATTCACATTGTTACAAATGTTTTGAAAGTCTTAAAAATTCTTTTAGGTTTATAACTATAAAGGAACATAGAGAACGACAAGTAGTAATGCTTATTCTTCGTACAATTATAAAATTAATACAAATGCTTTATGGTAATAATATCAAAATGAAAAATGAACTGAAAAAATACTGTAAAACAGAAGAGATGCTTGCTGCTGCAATGTAATTGAAATATATTTCTCTTCTTAAGCAGCTTTAACAGTCTGCTCTTGTCCTCTCTGCTGCATGGAAGACTTCTGTGGTGTTTGATTTGCTTCCTTCTGTTTTTCTACTGACTTTAAATCATCCCTTAAAGCTGGCTGTCCTGTAGGCTGAATCTGAATGATTCGTTCATTCTTTGTCCCTGATTCAAGTTCCTTCCTTGGACACGTGATAGTCAAGACTCCATCAGAGGACAGTTTTGATTCCAACTGGTCGATGTTACACTGCTCCGGTACCAGGTACTTCCGTACAAATTGTCTGGAGATCCAACCATGCTCGTCCTGTTTCTCTTCATGCTTGCCTTCGACAATTACATTTTTCCCAGAAACTTTTACAGTTACTTCTTCCGGGTCAAATTGTTGTACATCCAAAGTCACTTGGAACTTGTCCTTATCCGCTTGTAGTGTAGACAATCCACTAGATCTTCGGTCTAGGCTTCTCTCGTAGGGATGGTATCTTTGAAGACTACGACGACGAGGTCTAAGTACCATAATGTTGGCATCGTAAGGTGCCAATGCAGAAGATGGCAGCAAATCATCAGCAGTCAATGGCAATCCAAAATGCTGATCGAAGAGACGATGGGGCCTCTCCAAATTCTCCCACCAACTGGAGAATAACATAGGTAGCAGAGACATGATTCTTCTCTTACTCCTTTGTGTACCGGCGTCACGATATATGAAGCTTCTATTAAACTAGATGTTATTAACTTGCTGTTTTTTTTCTTTTATTGTTTACTATTTTGTTTTCTTCTTAGCGTTTTAAGTCTCAAACAATCACAGTCACAGTTTTGTACTTCAAACACGATATACGTTTTACGCTAACGGACGCTACGTGCACAGCTTCTTTAGAATTTCTTCGAAATGGCCGCTATGCACATATATATATATTCATAACGCCCAGAGGACGTAGTGGGGGAACCAGTGATGGAACATGCGTCTAGAAACTCTAGAATCGTCTGGAAATCGAACCTCCGAGAAACATTAAATTCTCAAATAAATCCCATCGAGTAACATACCTGTGTATGTACAATGTATATTCCAGAATACATGATGTCGGTCTACACCATAGATTTCATGTAAAAAATTGTAGAATATATTTTAAGAGATTGTTAAACACGAGATGTAAAACGATTTGAATTTTCGCGCACTTTGCAGTGATGAAACATGCGTTCAGAATTATCGGGAAGTCGAGCCTTCTAGAAACTTTAAATACTAAAATTAATTTACGAGCAAACATGCTGATTCAGAATACGCTATTTCCGACTACAATGAACTCGCCTTTACAGAAATACTTTGAAAGGTTGTCCTGTCGATATGTCAGAAAACGCGCGAATATACAATTACAAATAAGGATACAAGATATATGTAACACAATTCTAATTTTTAACCGACAAGGAGATGTATATTGTTAATATTTTCAAATTACATGTTTACATAGCGCTGAGTCAGTTTTTTTTTGCAATCTTTTTCTTCAGATGAATACCATAATTTTCACCTAACTAAAAGGTTGTATCACATAATAAATATTGTATTCAGAATTTTAAGTATTGTAATATAGCAATATAAAGATTTTATATGTAACGCAATAAGATTATCAAAGAATGTTATTAAGTGAAATCAGTTTTATAAAATAAATTACAATGAATCCGTTACGTTGCTTATGACAACATACATGCCCTTTGGCAGGACCCATTACTGTATATATTTTGCTTCAAAATGTACGACCCTCTTTTTATATTTTATAATGCCATTAAAACCGGTATTTAGACCTACCAAACACCTCGATATACATATGTATGTACATAACTTTCAATTTGAGTCAGAAATAGATAAAATCTTTATCTAGATAGAAGTTTTGAATATCAAATAAAATATTGTTTATTAGTAACAAATAAAAATTGAACTATTCAATCGAATAAACATCGTAAATAAATCGTTATACGTTGATGTTATTCGTATTTATTATTTGAATAAAATTTTGCCCATCTTCGAATTTGGTGTTTTATTCTAAATCAAATTATAAAATAAAAATAATGTAGTAATAAATAAAATCGTATATTTATCATTTAAAATAATACGTAGTCAACAAAATAAAATAACATTTTGCTACATTAAAATATTAATATATAAATTACTTCTACAAGAATTAAATAATATACAATTTCTCAGACAAAAAATCACTCAAAGGATAAATAATATAATAAAAATACTTATTAGATTAGGTGGAAGTATTTTTTGTATATCATTTAATTTGGTTATTTTATTATTTCAATAAAACGAGATTTTCTAGGTATGATAAATAAAAATTTGAAAAAGCCTTGAAATTAGAAGCGAGACAAACAAAAACAATTATTCCTCGAAAAGAGGATATTTAACGCAAAAACGAATCGATGTTACAATGTAGAAATAAATGACTGCATAATTCATATGTCATTAACGAAATTAAATTTTTTACACAATTATCGTGCATAATATTAGAGATTTATACATATTTTAAATAAAATACTTTAGTTTGTATTTTTAAAAATTAGACTGAATTCAATAACGTTCGTTATTTATTTAAAAGGAGCTTCAATTGATACGTGTGTGAGCTATACAACGCTCACTCAATAGTCGCTCGGCTCGTTTCTGGAACCCTCTAGAAACGTCGTGACATGCGCGAACTGTATATAAGCAGCTGGCGTCGCCGGCACCGGCAGTTCTGCAAAAGCAACAGAAAAGTGAGCATCGCAAATTTGAGCGAAGTTTCAGTGCTTGATAAAGCAATTCTCAAGTGAGATTCTTTCTGAATATCGTTACCAAGTTAAATAAGCAAGAAAATGTCTCTTGTACCATTGCTGTTCTCCGACTGGTGGGAAGATTTGGAGCGTCCGCATCGTCTCCTGGACCAGAACTTCGGTTTGGGCCTTCATCCTGAACAACTGCTGACGCCAAGCCGATTGGAATTGTACGTGAATCCACGAAGAAAGTCTCCTGCGTACTACAGACCGTGGGCTGACTGGCTTCGTTCCACCGACACAGGATCTTCAACCGTCCAGGCTGACAAGGACAAGTTCCAAGTTGTGCTCGATGTCCAGCAATTCGAGCCAAACGAGATCGACGTTAAAGTTGTTGACAACTTCGTCGTCGTTACTGCAAATCATGAAGAGAAACGCGACGAACATGGCTGGATCTCGCGTCAGTTTGTCAGGAAGTACCTGATACCCGAACAATGCGACATCGCCCAGGTGGCGTCGAAGCTGTCTTCCGATGGCGTCCTTACCATCACCGCGCCGAGGAAGGATCAACCGAAATTGGAAAACGAAAGGGTAATCAAAATCGAGCATACCGGCAAACCAGCGGTCCAAGCCAAGCCGTCGAAGCAACAGCAGTCGAAGCAGAGCGAGGAGAAGGCAGAAAAGTGAAGAGGTTCCACGAATAATTCTACCATTCATTATATTCCTACTTATCATATTCCACTGTTCATCGTTAATTACGGTTAAATTTCCTATTAGCATTTCTCGTTATCAAGATATCAGTGTTAGGATTGAAAAGTACATTGTATAGTGTAGCTCCTACATGTTCGTTCTTTGTTCCATACATTATTCGATTCAATAAAATGTGAATGTATGTATATACGTATACTTACTACTGCCGATATTTAAGACTTATGTATGTGATTTTTTTTTTATTTTAGTAATAAATTTCTAAGTAATTAAATTTTGCCCTGTCGATTTTACCTCTCATATATTCCAACCTAAAATACACCTCCCGTAGCGATAAGATACAAAGTTAAGTTTTTCATGCTGTAGATTTGTATACATTTTTATTTGAATTTTAAAATTATTTTTCTTGCGATATTTCGAGAATTTTGTTCGTAAATAAACGATTGTTGCTGTAAATGATTCTATTAAAAAAAGAATAGAAAAATACTTAAGTAAATATAATATTTACAGAATTTATGAAATTTATTTCGACTAGTTTAGAAATATTTCTGCTTTTGGTTTCTGTTTTAACTTTCTTACTTCCAATCATGTTTAAAAATATATTCATAGAATGATACGATACATATAGCAATAATTACTTAATATAACGAGAACAATCAGGACTTCAAATTCACAAGAGCTTTTTTTCATATATGCTGAGACTTCTAAAAAGGTAAGTTGCGCTAATCATTGCAAATTCTCAATTTATCCACATACTAGAAGTTTATATTATAATTATTCTTTAAAGTACAAAATCATAAAATTCGTTTCTTCTTCGTAATGTTGTATCTATGACTATACCGTAAGAATCCTATAAATGAGGTTATAATAGCAAACTCTCTTTCTGGAATGTTCTAGGCGTTCTTCAGGAAGGTTATGTTGCAAACTTCGCGAAATTTCCAGACTGGTTTGACATTTCAGAATTTCGAGACTTTTCTAAAACGTATTTTCACTTCGTTATTGATTCAAAACATTTAATTTGAAACTGGGAGAAGAAGTGCAATACAATGGAAATTCAGTCAAGAAGCTTATTTATACCAACATTTCGATCAAAATATTTTTTAATCTAAAGTTGTCCATGTGCCTTATCACTCTTATCAGCTAGCAACGATATTTCGATTTTTCAAATTCTCAGTTATCTTCATCAGTGAGAAAGGGCAACTTGATCATGTTTTTATAAGGGTTTACCTGAAATGCTTAATTTGTTTAGTAAACACTACATGACACAACATTTTACGTTATAATAATCATTAGTCCAATAAGAACATAACATTGTTTTCAACAATGAAACTACTTATTTTGTTAACTCTTCCTTAATAAAGACTTGAAATAAAAAAGAACAATATACTAAAACATCTTAGACATGATCAAATTGAGACTGAAAATACTTGCTGTTGCCAAAGAAGAATTTTTACAAAAGATATTATAACAATTTCGCACTAATTTGTAGTTTTCAATGATCACTTTAATGTTGTTTTAAAAAGAATTAATCATGGTAAATGTTAATGTAACTTACTTTGTTAATTACTTTTAATTAATTAATTACTTTGTTAACTCTTCCTTAATAAAGACTTGAAATAAAAAAGAACAATATACTAAAACATCTTAGACATGATCAAATTGAGACTGAAAATACTTGCTGTTGCCAAAGAAGAATTTTTACAAAAGATATAACAATTTCGCACTAATTTGTAGTTTCCAACGATCACTTTAATGTTGTTTTAAAAAGAACCTCTAATAACCTAACTAACCTCTAAATAACCTCTAATGGCAGTTTTCCTCTTTATAAACGTTGTAGAGACAAAGTAAATCAAATATGAAACAATAAGGGATAATTGTAAAGGTAACATAATAAAGATTAAACGTTTATTAATTTTAACAGTATATTTATTTAGTTTACGCAAATGAATTGTTTAATACAAATGCTTGTACTATATAAAAACGATGCTTGATATCTACAATGTTCTAAGGAATAGGATGAACGATATGAGGAACATGAAAATACTAAACACATTAAACAATACAAAATGCAGTCGGTTTATCTCTCTTAATTCGATTGACTAGCTCTCAGTTTCTCAGGTTCTTCACGTTTCTCTTCTACCGGCTTCTTTTCCACACGTTCAATTTTAAGGACTTTTTCTCGCTTATTTTCGATGGCTTCTGGTTTCCTTGGTGCTGTTACTGTTAGAATACCCTCTGGAGACAAGGTACTCGTCGCTCGTTCAGGATCACATTGATCTGGTATTAAATATTTTCTAACGAAATGCCTCGAGATGATTCCGTGATCGTCTACTTTGTCTTCGTGTTTTCCTGCAAAAGAAAATTACAGTTTGTCAGTAAACAATTATAATGCAACGTTGACAACGTTTGACAACAGTAATTTTCGTTATTACAAAAGTTCTTTCCAATCATAATACCACGCCATACGAGTACGATTACATTTTAACCTTGAATTCTTTCGATCGGCATTACGTATATTTTTGGAAAATTTATAGAATGCAACAAGCATTGAAAAATGATGTTTTAATACTGAATTTTAATAATACAATTACATAAGAATGCGTTGAAAAAGAAATATTTGGAATGCCGGTCGTATTCACAAAATTTTTCATACTATGTAGAAAACATGTCACTCACCCTCCACGACGATGTAATTGTCGACGACTTTTACATTTACTTCTTCAGGTTTGAACTGTTGAACATCAAGTGCAACACGGAACTTGTCTTTGTCACTCTTCACTATAGACGATCCCCTTTCTTCTTCTTCATCCTTCATCCAGTCTATCCATGGTTGATAATAATTGTACGGCGATCCTCTGAACGGTGGTCTGTCAAATACTGATGAAAAAAATTGATCCGGTCGCAGTGATCTCGCGAAATGCTGGTCAATTAACCGGTGGGGATGATCTAACGCTTCCCACCAATGAGAGAATAGTTTTGGAATTATTGTCATTCTCGACCTCATTTTTTTAGTGTTTTTGTATGCAAATGCAAGTTTAAGAAAAAACTTTTAATAACAATCTTTGGTAATAGAACGTGCACGACGTTAATCGCTTGCTTGTCCTTTCGGTACTGGTGAGTCAAGCTGCAACGCAGATTTATATATACCCATGGCACGTAGGTTCCTACATAGATGCGCGGAAGGTTCGAGTAACAGTCGAATGCTTTCTCGAAAATTCTCGAATTACCTTCGATTTCTTTCTAGAAGTTTCAAACGTAATCATCGTACAAAATTCGTCATCTATGTCAGAAGTTCATATAGACAGCTAGCTTTTCAAAAATGTAATTTCTTTTCACTCGTGGCTTTTCAATTCTGAATTTATAGATATTTATAAGAGAATTTAAATTTCACATAAATATTGTGTATTATGGTTTAAAAAAACAAACCTGACTTGTTATTTAGGTAACAATAAAACCAAAGAGAAAAATAGTACCAAATTGCTGATGCATATCGTTGAATCTTGATTAGTGGCTATGTGAATCCAACGTAAGTCAATTTTGTTCTCAGGTAAAAGATAATAATGAAGCGAATATTAAAATAAATAGTCTATTATGCTGTTTGGTGAATTATTTGGATAAAGAATAGGAATTGTTGCATAATACATTTTAATTATTAAACAATAATACATAAACATAACACAGACCTCAACAATTAAAAAAAGATTGGTACGTTCACAAGATTGGTAACTTTAGTTATATGGACTTTTTGAAACAAACATTTGTTATGATTTCCTATAGATTTTTAAACATTTCAGTGATATAAAACCTAGAATTAGATTAACATTGAAAATTAATTCATTCATTCAATATTAGTATTTCCTTAAATAATCGATTTCAAGTGTTACAGGTTTTCAATTAAAAAAAAATTCTACGGTTTCATAGTTAAATTCACTGAGCCCAACACAAATCAAGGTGTAATAATACATTGCGTAATATAATCCTCTTTAGAGATTAATATATCAACATTTTTCGTATATGAGAACAAAATAGAATTACATTGCATTAACATACAAGTCATTCATTAAGATCCAACGATATTGCATCAGCCGTATAATACTATTTTTCACTTTGGTTTTATTGCTATCTAAATAACAATCTAGTCTATTTTTATCACATCCACATATAGAAATGTTAATGAACCAACTTAATGAAGTGTTATATGCATAGATATATGTGTACCTATGTTACGTATATTACGTGTTGCGACGTTGAGTTTAGAATTTTCGGAACCATAACAAAAGGATAACGTTTCGCGACGTTTCGACTTTTATTGAATTTTTTGCTGTTTATAAATTTATAAGGTACCTGTTTACGTTACCTACGCACAGGTTATACAGATATTGTTATAAAAATTAAAACAATTTAACGTAAAACCGACCAAAGTTAAAACGTTGAGAAACGTTATATTTTCGTTATCATTTTAAAGATTAGAAAAACGATTCACGTGTCACGTGCATCAAGTAATATTCATAAGTTTCGTAGTAATAATATTCATAAGATTGCATCAGCCTATGAGCAATAGAAATTTGTTTACAATATATCTACTGTAAATCTTTCAAATCACTGATATAACATTTTATTCATATGAAATATAATATATCATAATCTTGTTTTGAGTAAGAGATTATTGACGCATCCATCATAACACATTTAATAACAATAGATTATGTATTTCGTATTTGCAAACGTTGGGAATACGTTTGATGGTGTCTAAAGTTTGTGTGTATTAATGTAAATAGCATGCGTTTACAGTGGTATCAATAACTTGTCTGAATGTCGGGTGACGATTACGTAAAAGGGTCTCGAAGCGTCTGGAATGTACAATACAGTGTCATTTATCAGCATTCTCTCTCTTTTTAGCATAACATTGACACTCAATTAAATATAGATTACTGCATGGTACCAAGATAAAGCATCATTTAGAGCTTTCACTTGCAAATTATACATTCAACCATTGTAAAAATAACACGCCATAAACTTTCAAAATTCTTAACGTTATTTCAAACGAATATACAGTGGATGTAGAAAGTATTCGTACAATAAGGGAATATACAGTGGATGTAGAAAGTATTCGTACAATACACCGATCAATTTCCAAAAGGACTATGTAAAATTGTAATTTATTAACTTATTTTTTATAAACAATGACATTCTACATATTCTCGGAAATCTCTAGAATAGATAGAGTACAAAAAAAAATAGCTATTTATGTAAGTTACGAAATTAACACAAAAAGAAACAATTAATCGATAGAAATATTGACTGCTTAATTTCTAAAACTTCGTTTAAAAATTTACATTAATTTACATTAATTTACAAGTATATAATACTTCCTTCGTGGGATTTCCATTTGATTTTATAACTATTGCGACTCTTCTAAGCGTTAAATCAACTAAATTATTAGTTATTCGAAGTGGGATCTTCTTCAATTCCTCTATTAGAGCCATTTTTAAAAGAACTTTCCTGAAAATTTGATGTGTTCTAATTCGTCCGGAGCAATAAACTAATGTCTTTACGTTACAAACGCTACTGTAAATGGTTCGCCATAAGAATCGTACAAATACTTATTGCTTCTATACTTTTACCCGCTTTTCGCATTTTTTTGTTAATTTTTTATAATCATTGATTATAAAAAAAAAGAAGTTAAGAAACTACAATTTCACACAAAAGTTTTTTGGGAAATTGATCAGTGTAGGAATACATTCTACACACCCTGTATGTACGAATAAATCAAAACTTTTTGATACACTTGTACTCGTGACTGGTACATCCACAAATAATGTGTGCTTAACGCTTGAAGGGCGTGAAGGATGAGCTATAGTATACTTCGTTATTTTAAAGATAGTCGTCTATTACGTTTCAATAATAAAATAAGGTTTGAATGTAGTATTTATACAATCTTTTTATAAAAAATAAATAGCTCACTTCTTAACTTTTTTGCTTCCAGCGTGATAAATCTTGCTTAAAATAGCAATCCTTAAAAGGTTAAGGTACACTTGGGTTCACAGAACCCTGTTGGAGTATTGATTTGTTCGTTCTCGGGCGGATAACAGAAATGTCCTTTAGCTCCAGAATTGAATGAAAATGAATTGGATTCCATATTCTTAAATAATAATTTTAATTCATTATTAGTAAAATAAAAATATATACGTTCTCTCGATCAGATAGAGAATACCTTTTTCTGCTCTCTTCATTGACAAATTTTTAGACATACTGACGCTAAAATTAGTTGTACAACTAACTATGTTAACTTTAAGGTGTCAGCTACTCTATCAATAAAGTCAACAAATCTTTCACCTCCGAATAACTTCAAGGACAGAGTTTAACGAAAAGAAAAGATCCAGAAACTGCTAAAATTTTCTATACGGTTTCTAGACGTTTTTAAAAAAATCAAACTATATATTTGCTTGTCCTAACAGAAACAGGTTTATACGATAATTGAAATTCTTTCACAGAAAATCAGAGTAATAAAACTCTCCCATTCTTTCAAACCTCGAATATTCAATCATGAAATATTTGTTTAATCTTTCAGAATTTCAAAACTATTTCCATTAGTATATATTTAAATATTTTAAAATATTTCTACGTATTTTAGTTAGTTTTTTCATTATGTTTGCTGCAAAGAATGAAAATATACTGTTCAAACGTTTATAATTCTTGTTTAAAAATTCCAACGATACAATGTGCCAGCTGGTAGAGACATAAAGCCATTTGCTTTTAGCCTTCACGAGACGAAGTTGCATATTAGTCTCGAGTTTCTCGTCACGTAGGCCCGAAATCAATAAGAAGATAAAGACCACACAGTGTGCTAAAAATAAGGATATTCTTTGCAGTCAAGCAACACAAACATGCTGTGATAAAGCTTATACTTAACAAACCGTTTTCATCAAAACGACTAAATTTTAATGTTGTCACTTATATTTTTTGCCAATTTTTATCCTTTTTTATAATTTCGAGATCGTTAACATTTATTTAGCCGTAACGAGACATTTTTAAGACAAAAATCTGAATCCAAATTTGTGTGATATGTTCATTTTTAAATAAGATAAAATGAAAAATCTCGATTGGGGTAAACAAAAGGTTTGCAATTTATTCATTTTTCACAAAATATGTAATTTCAATGATTTTCGAAAATATTCTTTCTTATAAATTTAATCAATTAAGACAAACGAAACAGTAAGTTCAACAGGAAAAAAGCTAATGAACTGATGATTTATAAATAGAATTATCTAAAAAGGGAATTTGTCGCTACACAGGACGTAGCACTTAAGATAGACTACATGAATAATTCATTTACCTTTCGTGATAAGCAAAAATGCTTCAAACCTTGCTTGGTTTCAACAAAATCTAGTTTCTATTTTTGAAGCTGAAAATATAAAAGAGATACGAAGGTTTGAGTCTACTTCTTTCTTTTTTTTGTGAAATTATCATTATGTCATGGTAAAATTCTGAGTATGTAAGAATTAAGATCCATCTATCTTAAAACCGATAGTTTCCGAGATATTCAGTTACGTATTAATATTTAATTGCATAGACAATTATTTATGCCCTTGAAGAATTACATGTTGCTGCAAACCTTGTATGTAGTTATGTAACTTTCATAGCATTGCTAGGACATTTTTTATTATTTTCTAACATTTATAGTGACGATACTTGCATTAAAATTTCAAATAAACACTATAATTTCAATATTTTGATTTTTATATTACATTAATCTTAAAATAGATCCACCCTAATACTGCAATTCTCGAAGTCTATTACTGCTTTAAATTATGCTCTAAAAAATTATTATTTAAAAAAAGAAGATGGCCTTGAAATTTTCTCGAGACATCCACCAATAAAAAATCTACTGACGTTAACTTACGGTCCTCTCCAAGCCGAACAAGATTAGATTGAGGCTATTTTTGACGTTAAAAATAAGATAATTATTCAGATGGCCTGACTTAGCTCTTTATGGCCAAAATTCTTATTTCAATCCTGATTTCATTTTTGTCGAGCATCACTCGACATTGAATCACAAATGATGGTGCCTACGAGTTATAGTTTAACATTGTATGTATCGCATGTCATCTCGTAGCGAAAGCCGTTGGAATGTATTTAGTTTCGAAGAAAGCAGTTAATCACCCAAGGGTACGACGCATTTTGGCGATGTCGATGTTTCTTTCACGGTATATTAACGCTTGCGACGTGATGTTTGCGATGCAGTTAGTAACAGAATATTCCTTTCATAGACTGTTATTAATTGAATGTTTCTCAGACAACTCGCAAAGGAAAGATTTCTTAGGCGAAAAACATATTCATCTGCACAAACATTTTTTAAATACGATTCATGAGAGCTACAGTATCATGTTTATTAAACAAAGTCCTGAATTTAACAATGCATTGGGTACTGTAACAAAAATATAATAATAAAAAGAAATTGATAAGTGTAATTTAAAAGGATATACGTATAGTTCCGTACAAGGATGTGTTTATGTACCTTTATTAAACGTTTCAAATGTCACGTACGGATCGCGACGAGTAAACAATTTCAAATATGTATCTACCGGTGAAACGTTTCGTTGAAGAGGCGTCAAACGTGACTGAAACGTTATGCCAGATTAGATTATTGTTTTTAATTAGATCAAGACCATACAAGCAATCATTTTTGGAATTTTGCTCGATATAATGCATTTTTACCTACATTCTAATGTTTCAAAGGCAATATATGTATATAAAGAATTTTCTAGAAAGGCTTTTAGGATTTTATTATTTATTAACAAGGTCCTGATAGAGACTTAAACGGCATTCGAAAATCGATCGTATATTCGATACCATTTGTGTTTTATTAATAATCAAATCTTACAGCCTCTTTACAAAAACTTTTTATAGGGAATACCTGAACTACTCGATATAAAATGTTTTCATTATGAACCGCTGCTATCTACCACCCAGTTTAAATTGACACGACATATTACCCACAGATAAGCTCCTTATTTTCCACAGGATTATCATTAAAAAAATATTCGCTGACGGCGTGGAAAGAAAATAAATTTATCATTCACCTCCAGATATAGGCCATGCTGTTGCAATTTCTTTTGTTTATTTTTAACTGGCATTATAACATTTGATACCTGAATCGACCTTCTGGAATAATCTTACTGCAAATGTACTGAATAATACTATTACGTTGCAAGTACGTTTTTCTATTGAAACATTATTAGCTGCTTAAGAACTATATACCGATGTGTCGCCTAATAGCAAAACCTTTCATTTAAAATGCTAAAAGTCACCTACTCTAATTTAATTACATTATTAAAATACAAACTTTCATTTAAATTGCAAAAACTCACCTACTTTGTCTCATATTATTAAAACCAAGAACATTATGTTTATTCATGTCTCTATGTACTGCGAACGGAAATGAAATTCATTTAAATGATGACAGTGTCATTTCAGCAGGTTTTTGACTTTAAAGTAACGTTACACAATCAGACATCAGTGTTCAATTTAATTTACGTTACTTTTTCTGTAGTAAGTACCAGTTATCAAAAATCAAGGAGAAATTGATAGGGACACGTATGCGTGAGCATTTGTATGATGTAATGTACACGTACATAAGAATGATTCAGTCTCGCGCAGACGCAAGATAGCGAATTGATCCATCCGGTCGAGGTATGTTCTCGAGAGTGTCTAGAACTATCGACATTTCTCGAGAAGGAAAGTAAATTGAAATTAAATTTGTAAAATAATGATAAATATGAAACAACGAAATCGTATGTAATGCGTTGTGATGAAGATGAATATATACGACGAATATACGACACTGATTTCCATTATCTACTTTTTTGCCCAGAATGTTCTAGACAAAATTCAAAATTCAAAAGGCCTGTGTCATTAATTGATAAATAAATTTATAGATTAAACGAACTATATTATTTCTGGAACAATAAGTATATATCTATCGTATTATTAAGATCGTAAGATCGTATTATTAATATTATAAATCTATATATTTGTATTTAAAGCTATGTGTAGATATTAATATATTGTTTAAGATGAAAATCAAAAATTCGAAAAATTGTTACGATGTGTAGTTCAGAATATCATTAGAAATTAAAATCTTAATAAATTCCATTGATGTTAGTGAATGTTCTAGAAATTCTTACGAATTATTTTCCTCCACTCTTTATCGATCAATATCTTAGAATAACTACGTATATATTTACAATTTTGTTACGCTATACGTTTGCAAATTTATCAACAATTAAAAAGTTTGAGTGGATTCAGTCCTGATCGTCAATGACAGCAACAGTTTCTCCTTTCTTCAAATGCAGCAGATGAAATTACATAGTGAGTATTAGGTGTAGAATTGAATTCTGCGCCTTTCTATGATACATACATACATACCATTCACTTAAAAAGGAAAATTGTACCACTCATGATCTTTCTCCAGTCATACAAGAGAGAACATGTAGTTGTAGAAACAAGTGTCAAAGCAATCTATGTTTTTCATGAAAGTTGGTACTTTAATGTAACAAAATGACGGACAAATATTTCTTGTTTAAATTAGAGTTACAAATAATTAAATATGAAGATAGAGAATCCATTTCTACACCCAATAATTGGCAAGTATACTTATAATCTACTAGAAGAACAACAAGAAATGAAATTTGTTCACTACTGAACTTTGTGTATAGAATACACTGTAATGGCCATCAGGTTGAGACTTAGATTGTGTATATAATTAATCATTTAAAGTAACAAAATGATGTGTAATTATTTTTATTTAAACTGTAGTTATGTAGTAAAATAAAATTACTGTAGTTAAAATAAACTATAGTTAAAATAAACTGTAGTTAAAATAAAATTATATTCACATTCGCCAAAGTTTCGTCATGCCGTATAACAGCTGACGTGTAGCGTGGAGAACATGGAAAGGAAGCCGGTCGTTTCGCGATCGATCTGAAATTCGCAGATAAACCACGGAAAAAATAAAAACAAGTACCTACATCGACACTCGATAAATTAAATTGAATGTCATCTAGAAAAAAAATAATACGAAACGTGTACGTTGACTTTATTTTCGTCCGGTAACCCGGAAACTTCTCGAAAGTCTGAGTGTAGGCCACGCGTCACACATTCAAACCCGCCTGGCATAAATACCGGCCGCGGAGTGAGAAGCTCCAGTTGCATTTGAGACACCGAAGCTATCGAAGAAGCGTATATTAATCACGAGCTTTTTGACAGAGCTCACGAGTGACAGTTTCAAGTATAAGAAAGTTTCAAGAAAAAGAAATTCGAAGACGTCCACAATGTCGCCGATGATTCCGTTGCTACTTTCCGCTTGGTGGGCAGACATGGATCGACCAAGCCGTCTGATGGATCACAGTTTGGGAACGGGTCTCTATCCTAACCCAATTCTGCTTTCTGACCTAGCAGATATCTACACGCCGATACCATCAAGAGCAGCCATCGAGTACTACAGGCAGCTAGCTGACAGGATGCGGTATGGTGACGTTGGTTCGTCGAGTAACACGAACAAGGACGAGTTCAAGGTGATGCTCGACGTTCAGCAGTTCAAACCAGAAGAGATCTCCGTGAAACTGATCGACAACTTTGTCGTCGTGGAAGCAAAACACGAAGAGAAGAAAGACCAACACGGGTACATCTCGAGACACTTCTCGAGAAGGTATTTGCTACCCTATCAAGCAGATGGGGATCAGCTGTCGTCGACAATCTCTAGCGACGGAGTTTTGACGATCACGGCACCATTCAAGCCAACGGAAGAAAAACCAAACGAACGAACGATCAAGATCGAGCAAACTGGTAAACCTGCTATTCGCTTCGACACATCTAAGCCAAAAACTCCAGCATCAACAACGACTAGCACAGATAATCCAACCACTCAGGAATCCAATAGCGTTGAAGAAACAACGGAGAGTTTGACTAAAGAAACGCCAGAGAAATAAGACTTCCATTTTCTGTATTTTCACAAAATTCTTTTATATTCTAACGTTTTTGATATTTGATATGTATGTATGGTTTCCAATGCGTGCGTGCCTGTATGTTACATATTGATAATTAGCGTTACCATGTTATGTTCCTTCATAATTTTTAATAAAATAACGAGTTAACTTAAATCCAGTGTAATTTTAATTCTCCTTTGTCCCACGACCTTACAAGCAGACGACTCTGTTAAAAAAATCATTTCGATTGTTTCTATATCTATTTTCGAAAGGAGAAAACGTTTAAGCATAAATGCAAAAGAAAATATAAAAGAAATAAATTGTAATTATAAGATGTTGATATGGAATATCAAATAACATGTATATAAATAGAATTATCCTTGTATTTGAATTTTTTTCTTTCGATAACAAAATATTTGATACAATATTTGTCTACATGGAAATACTGTCTGAGAAGGTTTGGGATATTATTTGTAGGGGACGGCGATATTGAATTGTTAATGTATATGATGTCTAAAGCAGATATAATAACAGCAATAATTAAAGGTCATATTTTTTGTTCCTCCGATAGAAAGTTTAACCAAGTTTGGTACTTAGGTCATTTTAAATTTTGCGCCGCCTCCGAAAAGGTTGTATTGTATTTAATAATTTAATCAAATTCAAATGGATAATAGTGCAGTTTAAATAGAAATTATTTCATACTTTTCACTGCATTTTCTCATACTGTTAATCAATTATATCTAGAGCTAGTTAGTATTCATATAAATTACCTAGAAATTATTTCATGCTTTTTAGTGCAGTTTCAATGTTTTTCGAAGTTGATTATATTTTTTTTTCAAACATTAATTTATTAAGCGAACACTTCACATGAAATTTAAAGCACTACTACTCAAGAGCCAAAAGATTTTTAATATTTTAGAATCATGATTATATTTATATGTAAGTTTTGTCGGATTAATTAAAGAATTTAAAAAATGGAAAACTATATACATATATATAGTTACATGATATATACATGTTACTATATACATGTATACAGGGTGTCCCAAAACTCGGGGAGGAGCCTGAAATGATGGGTAGCTGAGACGATTCTGAACAACAATTTTCTTTGCAAAAATGTCGGATGGGGCTTCGTTAAGTAGATATTAATAAAAGAAAACCCGACCAATCAGAGCGCGCGGATACCGTTGGAGCGGCCGCGGTAGCGAAGGCTACGCGCTAGGTCAATGCTTCGATGCACGTCGAGTCACTTGTTCGCGTGCAAGCGCGGTCACCAGCGCGTAGCCTGGCATATATTATATGCATATATATAATTAAAGAAAAATGTTAATATTGAACCTGCTCGTTTATATACTTTGTTGATACTATTTGTAACTTTTGAAGACGATTCTATAACATAGAATCGAAATGTAAATTAATAATAGTTTACTTACCTCGATAAAGTAAGGCTATCAATTTACTAAGGCTTCCAGTCTTTGATTTTATCGTTGATATAGGTCAGTGACGCCCCTCACATGCTCGTACATGTTTACATATAACGTATAACGTTAAATTGATATATATACACTGGAAAATTATAATTGCTCTAATATTGCCAGAATATTTTTAAAATATCTCTAACGCATTATTGTGCAGACATATTGTTGCAAATGTAACTATATTATTCCAGCAATATGTCTGGAATGTTCCATGAAAAGTTACTATAGATTTGCACTCTTGTAGCTAGAATTCTCTGGAGCAATAACTGATATCCGCAACAAACTTTTCATCATTCAGTCGAACGTTGTAGCATTCATATGAAAATTTAATTCAACGTAAAAAGCGTTTCAATTTCTCGAAGGTTCAAGAAACTTTATTTTGCGCATGCCTAAAAATTTTCTGAATATGGAGTCCTAGTTCCTCGATCGAAGCGCCTACCCCTCAATGCAACGGTCGTGTTGGAAGTTAACATACCAGTCTGTCGAGAGGTCGAGAGTAGTTGTGCCGGTTCATTTCGCAAAAACAAAAAGAAACAAGTAATTACCGGATAAATTATAAAAGCAATAATGGCTGTGCTACCATTGGATTTCATTGATCTTATGGACAGATTGGAGCGTGCAGGTATCGCTAGTTCGGCTGCCGGTCTTGGCCTTCCCGCTGTTCTTCCTACCGAGGCTGGCATTCCAAAAACTTTATTGCAAATGTTGCATTTGCCGTCGTACAAAGCCGAATCAAGGTGTCCCGTGGCGTATTCCAGACCATGGAGCGAGCTTCTGCGGAAAGGTGAAGGTGGAGCATCGACCGTGAAAGACGACAAGGATAAATTTCGTGTAGACCTGGATGTGCAACATTTCGGACCGGATGAGATTAATGTTAAGGTCGCTGACCATTGCGTGACAGTCGAGGGGAGACACGAAGAGAAAGCAGACGATCATGGCTGGGTAGCCAGACAATTTTCAAGGAGATACATTGTGCCTGAACAATGCGATATCGAGCAGGTATCGGCGAAACTGTCTTCGGACGGTGTTCTGTCAATCATAGTGCCGCGCAAGGAAAAGCCGCTACCCAATGGCGAAAGAGTAATCAATATAGAGCATACCGGCAAGCCATCTATTCATGATTCGCCGAGCGCAGCAAATGGATCGGCAGAGCAGAAAATGGAGTAAAGTTCCAGTATTAAACATTTATAAATTCCTCTAATACTTGCACATTATACGTATCCGTAACACTATCATAACACTATCACAAGTATTTAGCATTTTATGTAACATCATCGAAACGCATTTCAATAAATAGACACAAATGTCTTACGTTCAAATGTACCTTCAAAGTGTGTTTAGTTTCTACACTTTTCTAAATTCCCACGTTACTCTTATTTGTGAGAATGAACCAATTTCGTTTTAAACACATTTGTATTACGTTGTTTCGTTATTTTGTACGTTTGTGATAAGAACCTATATAAATAATAAGACATGATATTATTTGTTCCCTTCATAATAGTTTTTAGAACATTTTACTCGATGTGAGCGGAATGCAATTAATAAATTGATCATATAATATCAAATGTGTAACATATACACATAAATGTATTTTAAGATTCCCTATCTTTAAATATTTTCCCTCCTAAATGATTATAAAGCCAATATGGAATGGTAAGTACTGAATAATGTTATTCATATCCTAATTATTATAGAAATATATAGAATAGATTCCTAACATTAAAATTTAAATCTAAATATACTTTAACATTTATGAAATTCGTTTGCGAATAATAAATTACGGATCAATAAACTATCTAATAATCTAACTAGCTCTTGACTATACCTACGATCCGTAAAGTAAGGTTAGGATAAGCGATAACAGTTCAATGAACTAAGTTCATTCATCTCAATGTATCAGTGATGATATAACGTTGCAATTCAGAAGAATATTTATACGTATTCTTGGATATTGATTTGTTTATAAATAAACAAACAATGTTACGTTACGAAAACAGTTTGCAATTCTTGAATACACAAACCACTTCATAACCATTTAATGTACAGAATATACAATTAAATGATTTATAGTGAGAAAAAATGTAATAAAGTTGTAGGTATGATATTCGTTAGTAAAATGGGTAAAATAATCCGGGTTAAAAAATTTAAATTACATTTTTAAACGCATAATTTCTGTTTGCAATTTCATTATACTTGCAACAAAACAGATTGATGTTCATTAAGGACAGTTAGTTAGTTAGTTGTTTATTTTCATCAGACTTTTACAGTTTGGTATGTGTTTGGAAGATACCAAACTGTAACAAATAATCGTTTTATCTAGATGAAAGTGTAGAAACTATAGTTCCTATAGCTCGTGCTACGCGGCGCGTTCTTTTCGCACAAATTTGTTGTTGTTAAAACAAAAGTAATTAATTCAAAAGACATCCTATCGGCTAACACCGTTTATTAACATTGCAAATTTAAATTATATTCTCATGTATGTAAATACATAAATAAATTGTAAATAAGTTGAGTGGAAGCTAAATTTAATTCCTACGAAAGCACAAAGAGGTTACCGAACTATATGCAAACTACATATAGTGCATGTCACTTGAAACTTTGATAGACGCCCATAGACCCCCGGCGTCAGTCTAGACGTGCTCTAGACGCTCTATGATACGGTCATCGCACCGCTAACGGCGCTCACCGAGAAAGCTGTTTTCAATGTTAAATAATGGTTCTCACGAACACTGATATCGCACAATACATCGGAGCTGTGCAACACGGCCATTGCGCAGGTCTGCGCAAAGAACTCATCTTTGTAAGAGAAAGACGGCTGTATTCAAGGACAGCTCTGGTGTTTTCCAGGCTCTTCTAGAACACGCGACGCTAGACCCCCCACTACCACGCTTTATGCGCAACGAATACGTATAAAGAGAACTACGTAGTTGCCGACAGTTGATTCACGTGTAAGCAATATAACGGTTCGGCTGCGAGTAAATCAACGATTTATCCGTGTCGTATAAACAATAACCTCAAAAATTAGTAATCAGTAATCGAATAGTGAACAAGACTCATCATTCAAGACACGTAATCGCATTCCGAATACGATACGACAGCGTGAACTGACTCTGAAGTAATTGCATAATGTCGCTGATACCACTGTTGTATTCCGACTGGTGGGAAAGTCTGGATAAGCCTCATCATCTCTGGGATCAGAATTTTGGGACAACAATAGATCTAGACAGCTTGCTGGATGAACCGGATCCATTTGCTTCTGAACTTCTGTTATATCGACCGCATAGGCATATGAGAAGACGCTATCATCCATTCCCGAAGAAAGGAAGCAAAAGTGGACGAGGTGTATCCACCGTGCAAGCCGATAAGGACAAGTTTCAAGTAACCTTAGACGTGTCACAGTATCTGCCAGAAGAGGTTACCGTCAAACTGGTGGATCGTAATGTTGTCGTTGAAGCGAAACACGAGGAGAGAGAGGATGAACACGGTTGGATTTCGAGAAAGTTTGTCAGAAAATACATTATACCATCGCAATGTGATGTCGATCGTGTTGAATCACATTTATCTTCTGATGGTATCTTATCCATCACTGCACCCAGAATGAAACCTGCGAAACCTGAAACGACTGAAAAAGTACTCAAGATACATTACACAGGAAAACCTGCTTTGGCTAATTCCGAAGATCAGGTCAATGGTACGCCAGAACCACAAAAGGAGCAACAATCTCAGCAACGAGTACAACAGCAGCAGCCACAACAACAAACACATCAGCGCGGACGAAAAGGAACTCATAAAAATGTATAAATCGTATTTATCACCTATATCATTCTCAGTTATCACTTTCATTTATTATTATTACTGTTCTCTTATTTCTATATTGTAACTGTAGTTTGCATTATTAATGTTAAATATAAAGTTAAACAACATTTGCAATAGCACACCATTCGCATTGCGTACAAGTACAAATGTCATAACAATTTTTGTATGATGTTCTTTCTTTTTTTATAAAAAATAAATTATTCTTTATTTGATACAAACAACGTGTACAATTTACTATTCTTGTACCTCTCCTAACTTCTTTTTTCCCATTGAAATAATTTCTAATAGACATACAGTTTATAAATCCATATACATGTGTATATAAAGATAATATTTTAATTAATTTCCTACAGATTTATAAGTAATGCATTAAACATTTAATTTGAATTCTGGATAGTAATTATAATATTAACCTCTTCAAACTTGTTCATCGTAATGTACGTAAATTCCAAGATTATTTTCTAATTTAAAATTATCCTTTTAAAATAATAAATACTGAGTACTCCTAATTCCATTTTCTCAAATATTTGTATTTTAAAACTTACCATAGGTAATATATGAACAAATCATGTTCATTCTTTATACAAAACTTTGAATCATTGTGAATTCACAATAAACATTATTGCAATTATTGAAATTCATATAAATATGACAATTCATGAATTTATTTACATTTCGAGTCCTAAATAATTTTATATATATGTGAAAAATATTTGTTTCGTCTACAAAAAGAAAAATCTGAACTGAGGAAGGTAAGGAGACTATTTTATTTATTTCTAATCGAACAATTATATCTTGACTCACATTTTTAATGTATAATTTCTAACTGACGTCTCTTCTTAAACTCAATATTGATATATTTTTGAAAATATCCTCAAATTGTAAGGAAAAATTAATCAAACCAATCAATTGTGTGATCTTCTTAAAAATCTTATTCGAATCACAATTAGAAATGTCTAGAAATATCGAGAGTACAACGACCTGTAGGATAAACGTAAGTAAAGTATGTGGGCTTGCAGCCAACATATGTGCGTTGGCAGCTTAGAAGCCTCCAGAAAGATCGATTTTACGCTATGTAAAAATAGAATCTATAAATAGAGAGTATGTTTCAGTGAATAGAAAGTAGACAGTAGTATAAATATGTTTCGTTGACATGCCTAGTTCTAGGTAAATTTATATTTTATCTTATTTTGTGAAACAAGTTTTATTTGAAACGAAGCAGTTTGACTTAGGACATTGAAGCTTTCAATTTTTTGTAGCTTATTATTTGTATGTTAGGTTAAAATTATAGTAAACATTTTACTTTCACGTAGGTATCTTATCTTTTGTATGTTTTGCCAAAGTAGACCTTTAGAGCAAGAAAGTTGAGAAACGCTGATTTAGGAGATGGTAAATCGATACAGCCGAAATGCTGTTTTCGTTTAACAGGGGTTAATTCAAGGTGGATAGGTCCAACCGTCGTAACCGACAACCTAAAGGATGATTTAATATTCTGGTATTACCTGTAGCTTTTTTGTAAGCGAAGATACAACAAATTCGTTGAACAAAGCAACGTTGAATCTCTCATGCAGGATCACTTTTTAATGACAATTTTTGTATTTGTTGCAGTGATATACTTGCATTTGTTACTTCGGTGTAACTAATTCATTTTTAACATCCATCGATTACAACGTTACCTAAACGTTTCTTACACAATTCCAACATTTTTCAAATGTCAACGTTTTCTACAAATTAATTGTCAACAAATTATCTTTCGAATTTTTAGTATTTCAAGAATACGAGATGAAAGAAAGCCCTAAAAGCATTAAATATTTAACAAAATATATTGCATAATCGTAATTAAAAAGCATTGATACTACAATATGAAAAATACAATACATACAAATAACATTTGTATTGTACATATTATAAGATTAAAAACGTAGGAAACGAAACGTGATTTTTGTTAAGAAACAATTATGTTAAGATAGATAAGAGTAATAAATTATTTTATACATAACCCGGACTAATCCGTGAAACCTGATGGCAATGTAAATGCCTTAGTTACATTCGTACATGGTTTTCGTACTGCCCTTTGTTCGAAAGCATAATAAAATATGAGTAACATGACTCGACAGAGAACGAAGCAACCGTCCGTTGAAGCAGCTAACAATAAAGTCACCTAAGGTCACGACTCCTCTATCTAGACCCATACGAAAATATGTACATATTTATATCAAAACCAAATAAATATTTGGAATTTCACTTTGCACAACCGCTTGAAATATAGCTTGTCTACATATATTTGTCGTAGTATATTTTTAACACTATAAAGTAATCGAATATTTAATAAAATCTAAAAAATTCACAAATATATTAACATATTCTTGAAATATATCAATTTCTTTTAATAAATTAACTTTTAATAAACGTACATTCACTACATGTTTGCTTCGAAATGGGTAAGTTAAAGTGTAGCAGCTTAAAACTTAAAACGTTTTAAGAACGTTTATTATTATCTTGAAAGTCTGGCAACGCTGTTTGGAATAATCATGCACAGAATTTGACGTATTTTTGAATATTACATTATAGTTATAAAAAGATCCTGGTACTGATTCATCAATGTATTTATTCAAAGTAACAATCTAGAACAGCGGAGAATTTTCTACAGAAAAGATTTTTTACAATTGATGTCTATACTCAAACATCATAATACATTGACATGACATTGGATTAATATATATATATATATATATAAGAATAATAAACTATTACGCTGACAAGTACGATCAAAATGTTGCTACTTGTTCTTTGTAATTTTATTTTTAATTAATATTTTTATGTTTAATTTTTGGTCACAAAATAAAAAGAAATGAAAGTAATTAACGAGATATGAAGAATTTGAATCATCTTTACGAATGTATTGTATAAATGATAAGATAAATAAATAACTGATAACATGAATGTTCCTTCAGTTTATAAGGTAACAGAAGTTTAAAGTCGTCTTTATAATGTGTTAAAAAAAAATAAATAAATATATTAAAGGGTAATTTTGAACCTCTTTAATGAACCCGTAAACAGATACGTGATTGTATATGTATGCGTTCAAATAATCGCAGAAAATTCGGGTACGTGTCACGCCCTGTAACGTACGTGCTATTCTGAACGTACGTACTAACTTACCAGAATATATATTGCTATTTGCACAATGGCATTACTAAGTAGAAAATTTAAGATTAATCAAATTGGTTACATTAAATTTAATATTTTTTAAACTTTCTTTTCGAATGTTAATCGGAAGGTTAATTTGATTAATGAAAATTCATCAATAATATATCTATAAAAATATACCAATGATCTAAAATATTCTTGACTTATATAGAAAATTCTAGAAGTTCGAGAAATTTCCATATTCTCCTTTCCAGATTTCGAGACTTTTAGTCAAGATTATTCTATATCAGACATTTTCGTTTAAACATCAAGAATGTTCTAGACTCTAGACATCATGGACAAAGAAACGAGAATTAGGTTGTGTTTGTTTGAATTCATATATGTAATTTCGTAAATTAAAAATCAAAAGTTCAGTGAATGAATTCGTTGAATAAACGTTTTCGACAAACGTTTTACTTTTCAATTAAACGTATAGAATTACAAAGGAGAAAGTCTAGAAGATATTGTTTATCGATAGCGATTATATTCGTCAAACTTTCAACTTAATAGTAATACGAATGAATAACGAACAATCGAACAATTCTTATCGATGTATATCGTTGGAAATTAAACATATATCACTGTAAACAAAAGCACTACTTTCGGCAACATGACTAATGTATTAATACACCGTGCGCCGGGTGTACTGCGGTTGCGTAGTACGAAAATCTGTGTAATCGCGTATTTATAATACAAATTTTCGTTTATAGTAGAAATACTTAAGTTAATATTATTCTTGGATGACTCATGTGCCTAAAAATATCGTTGATAATTCATGAAATATAGAACATTCTCGAAAAGATGTGCACGTAGATTCAGAATGTTCTCGACACTCAATCTATAGCCAACCGGCACCGGTATAAATACGCGCGCTGCGATGCGTGGCAACAGTCAACTGAAAACGAGCAAACGAGAAGTATCAGAGCTGCGAGTGTTCAAAGCTAATTATTCCAAATCTTTTTGGAAATCGTACGTTATTTAACGTGAAGATATCAAGTGATACATCGAAAATGTCTTTGATTCCGTTGGTATTCTCTAACTGGTGGGAGGACTTGGACCGCCCACATCGGCTTTTGGATCAAGACTTCGGCCTGGGACTGTATCCTGATCAACTTCTGAGCCCTTCAAGCCTCCTCGGTCAGTATGGGCCTCTAGTAGAGAGAAGATCGAGATGCCCGCTGTTGTACTACAGACCTTGGGGTGAACTTATGCGAAAAAGCGAGGGAGGAGGCACTTCCACCGTCAAAGCAGACAAAGATAAGTTCGAGGTAGTCTTGGACGTTCAGCAGTTCAAGCCAGACGAGATCAACGTTAAGGTCGTCGACAGATGTGTCGTTATTGAGGGTAAACACGAAGAGAAACAAGACGAACACGGCTGGATTTCGAGACAATTCGTCAGAAAGTACCTGATCCCTGAACAATGCAACATTGATAAACTATCATCCAGTTTGTCATCCGATGGTGTACTTACTATCACAGCACCTAGAAAGGACAAACCGGCGATCCAGAACGAGAGGACGATCTCTGTCGAAAAGACTGGCAAGCCAGCGTTGAAGGAGTCCCAGGAGGAAAGGAAGGAAGAGAAGAAAGAACAGGAGAAGAAGTCCTAAATTTTTGAACTGTATTCCTCATATTTGTGTTTCTGTTTTATACTATTTTATATCTTTCACAAATTTTTCTGTCATATAATTTATGTCACAATAGTCTAAGTATTACATTTAAAATAAAAGTGATACGTTAATATTCATTAATATCTCTCTTTTTAATCACATCTCTTCCCCTTGAATTAGGTAGTTAGTAGTAATAGGTTTAGTTTAGACAAAATAAATGTTAAATTCTTTGTAAAAGCTTTGAAAAATAATTCATGTAACATTTATCATACTCTGTGTTCTAGTCTCATTAGTGTATTATGTATCTTTCAGATTTTAAGAATTCGGTTAAAAATAAAACTGATAAAAAAAATTTTTGTGAAATTCTTTTAAATTATACATATCCTATCTTTTAATTGAATAATAATATTAGGTTCATTAGATAAAATAGAAATATAAAATTCCTTCTTTGCAAAAACACTGAAAGATAATCTTATATTTGTATAGTTCAAACTATTTTTAGTATGCTGTAAACATTATGTATATTGGAATTATGCCATCTTTGGATTGATACTGCTATACATTGTCACAAAATTGTTGAAAACAAACATTAGAAACTATGATTTTAGTAAACATTATCATACATATAATGAAGTTCATTTTAATGGTATAAAAGAAAGCAAAATTTAACAGTAAGAAAACTATATTTGTATATTATTTTTCTTCATTGTATATATTTTAACAATATCCATGTGTAATAAATTTCAATATATCTATCAAATTTGTAGGTTAGAAGATCACGTATTTTTCGACAATTATATTCAAAATTATAGCCAATACAATGGAAGCACTTCCACTATTTAGTGTAAATTTGTTATATATTTATTGCTAGCCCACCATTTCGTATTTATTTTTAGTTACATTATTTTATATACAATTGTTGCAAAACTAAAAGACTTAGGCTTAACAATTTTACCTTATAGAGTATTATAATATTTAGGACTATAAGGATATAAATACAAATTGCATTTACTGTGTAAGATAGATTACATTATATCTGTGATATAATATTAATTTCTGATGTAAACAGAAAGACACTTTAATATGTAGCGCAAAGTATGAATAAAAATATTTAATACTGTAAACATATGTTATTTAATATTTCATTCGTTGTAATTTTAGATAAAAGTTTAGATTAAAACAGCGTAGTTATAGACTACCTTTCAAATTGACAAAAGTTTGAATTTTATTATATTACAAGATTATTGTCAGCAAGAAAAATTTAGATCTTGAATAGATATGAAATATTTTTATCGTGAGCACCAAAAAATATTTAAATAATATGTTTGCTGATCGAAACTTTAATTTTTTATAAAATAATATTTTTGAAGAAATTTTGTTTAAGAAAAAGATGTCATTAAGAATGTCTGAATAATCATTACTGCAAAATTATTTGCAGTATATACATTTTTTACAAAAAAGAAAGTATAATGAATTTATTTTTATCTTGTAATTGTATTTTTATGTTTTTATCGAATGAAATTCAGTAATTAAACGTATTCTTTACATGTTGCTTTTTATCATAGTTTGAAGATTTACAAAGCATTATACCAGAAGTTTTAATATCAGCTATCCTTCAGTACTTCTTTTAAAATAGAACCCGTATTTCTAGCTGGAACGAAGTCCGGGAATGTTGGAAGGTTTACATTTGAAAGCAATAAAGTAGATTGTGTCGATGATGTTGAATGCTGTCTACTGTGGCCAGGCCTTGGTAAAGACTGTATATAGGAGTAAAAAAAAGAATAGATATTAAAATATTCGATCTCGTAGAATATATATCATGTAAGTATATAATAGAAACAAATATTCTTACTGATGTTTGAATTGGCAGTGCAGGTAATTGTGGTTTAGGTTTTGATTCGCTTTCTAGGAATCTTACGAACGCGGCCGATAAAGATGCATCTTGATCCTGAAAAATACAAATAATTATATATAATGAGTGATGTGTGAACAATTTAAAATTATAATTTTTACATTTATATTATATACATACATATATAATTGTAAAATACGTTCAAATTTCACTTAATCGAAAAAAATGATTAATATCGAAATAATATCGATTCAGTGTACGCCATGCAAGCAACGGCATCTATTCGATATATCGTAATTACTGCACTTGGCGCGAAAGCGTTGTGCAACGAAAAGTAGTTTGACGAATTGTTTCAGTGAGAAATGTTTAATTATATATCAAGTGATTAAGGAAGAATGAATTATAAGGAATTACAAAGAAATGTTAGTTTACCTTATTAGGAACTGTAGATCCGCTACTTAAACGTGAAAACCAACTACTTTGTGCGGCCGCGTTGTTCAAACCAGCTTTTTCTTTTTCTACTTCATCGAAATCCAAAATCGTAGAAAATACTCTGAGCACCGAAGACTTGTCCGCTGCCGATGAAACCAGGTAACCCAACAAAAGATTTTTAATGAGAGTTCTGGAAAAAATAAGCGCTTATTTACAATTACCGTCAATTTTCTATAATACAATTAATAGAAGACTAACTTATCAACTTTTCCCTCTCCACTTTGTTTCGCTTCTTCTATCCTTTGATCAGCAGTATTTACGAGATTTGCCAATCGGTCCACTATAAATAAATAAAAAAATGAGAAATGCGGTATTAAATGCAGAAATCAATATAAATGTTTTAAGTGAATAAGTTATATGGCACTGCCAATTTGATAATGAGCCTGAAAATGGAATCTAAATAGAACAATTAATTATTTAAGGACTAGTTTAGTAGTTTTTGTTTCGTTTCTGTACATGTGCATTCCAGCGTTGTAAAGTTGGCAGATTCGAAGGTCGAAAAGACATGAGCGTAAGTATGACACAAGTACTGGTTGTCTGAATATCACACCAGTACCTGATGTAATACTCACACCCGTGTCTTGATTGCTCATGCTGCATTCTTCATTTATCATGCCGTACTAGCTAACTAATTTTCACGCATGCCACTAGAAGTAAGAAAGCTATATTAATATAGTAATAAGTACTTTAGTATAAAAGTTGCAATATAATAATATAATTAGTATGTTATTATCATATAAATCATTACATTTGAATACAATAGTTATCTTATTATGATTTTATAAATTTATTACAAATTATATCATAAAAGTCATTTTATATATTAAAATAATTTGTTTTAAATATAGTAAAGCATAAAATACTTTCATTTATGTAAAATATGAAACTAGATACGTCAAAGAATGTGGTCATTTGAAACTTGATAATATATTGGTACAAAAACAAAATAAATTAAACATTAATGCATATTCATTGTACAAAATAGAATCAAATAAAATCAAAGTATACAGTATAGATAGCAAAATGAAAGTTTTTAACTACATGCTTTCATCCTTGTAGGATAATGGTAACGGGTGGGAAACCCCACGAGGTAATATGAGCTTTTACAATTTACACGCTCACAGTTACCGCATGAGATTACCCACTCTGGCGCTACCAAATTTTCATTATACAGTGTGTTATGTGTAACCCTAATATATATTGAATTAAATATTTTGTTTTATTAGTGAAATTCTTATTAATATTAATAGTAAAATTATTATATCCACAGTCATATAGTACCCACAACAAAAATGATATAAATACATAGCTCTCTTATACCTGAATTACAAACTTGTAAGTCACATGATGTAGATACAATAAAAATGATTATACAATTGAGTATGATTATACACATAATTTCACATTTAACTGTAGAGTACAGCAGTACTGCAAACTCATTGTAATTAGTACTTTATTTCAAGGATCAAGAGCTTTGACATTACCTAATACATCACTTTTATATTGTATGTGCATCGATAACCCAATTGCATAAATTGTAAGATCATACAAATTGTTAAGTGCAAAAGTATAACAAGAACTTAGTAACAATATTTATAATGATACAAGTGAAAAGTTATGAGACATCAAATTGGGAATAGTAATTTAATACAGAAATATGTACAATTTAGTCTTCATGTTTCCCTTATTCCTTAGTAGTATTTTATTTAAGAGATCAGGACTATTTTTTTAGAAATATGGGATAAGATACCAGCACCAGTGGCAATGCATGAGTCAACGAAGATGTGATTTAGTGTGCTAAGGCGACGATCCAGTTCGTAGCCGGATACCAGCAAGAATCCTGGGCTATTGTCAAAAATCCCAGAATTACCAGCTGATATTTGACTACGTCACCGGAGTTTCTATGTGTTTGCTTTTGCAGATTAGTCACAGATCACACTCAAACCAATAATTATAGAATGGAATTCAACCATTTCACCAGTAGATAAATTGTGTTTTGAATGTATGATTTGCATGTTGATTTATAGCAAGCAGTTACTGCACCAGAATCTTTTTCATAATTATATAAAATGTGTTTTCTTACTTTATATGTAAAAAGAGTTTAAGTAGTCTAATGTAGTTTTAGAAAATATCAGTATTAATATCTATATTTTCTTGTATTTATTTATAGTACCATACCAGTAATGATGTAATGTCTGTGTGATTGTACATTCAAGTTAACATATTAATTAATGATCAGAAGAAATCACAATGTGTTTTTAGTTTAGCTTAAATGTAATACGCATTGCAAAATTGAATAAAACATAGGTGCTTTAAAAAAAGGTTTTCAAAAAATATCTTTCACATAAGAATAATCCACTTACAAGGAAAATTTGCACTACAAAATATAAAATCAATAAATACATGTGTAATCACAATATAGTAGAATAGTGAATTATTCTCAATATGATAGCATTCAATATCTAATGACATTCAGCAATTTACATTGTAGAGTTCCATAGTTAAGCGATATTTAGCATCACTCTAACTAAAAAGTTACATTATTTAAAATATTTATGGATTATCATTTTCTTTATATATAACACAGAAACCCCGAATATATATTACCACACCAATTAAGCACATACAGATATTATTTACTTACGTTTAGCAATAGTTCTCGTAAACGACCTTATACATATATATAACATATTTGAAAATGTAACACCTGTATAATAGTTGTTTGTGAATCAAGAGGTATCAGTTTTTTTCATAAATGTATTAAAATTTTATGATGCTGTTTTCGATAAATAATGATTTACAAAATATTTTAATTGCAAAAAAATGCTAATCATGCGAGAGATAAAAGGAGCAAGATGCAGGCAAAAAATAAAACTGTATAATAATTATAAACCGGGTACCTTCTTGGTTCAGTTGTTCAATACGTTCTGTTTTCTTATCAAGTTGTTCGCTTAATCTTGATGCCGCTTGTAAGCATTCTTTAGCTTCTGCTAATTGCTCCTGTTGACAGATACGAAATAAAACGTAGAATTATTTCTTATGTAAATTATTCATTTGTATATTTATGGATAAGTATAAGTAATATAAATTCACCTTCAGGTTAGTAACGTCATTAGCCAGCTCTTCTTGTTTCTTATACGAATTGTTCAGTTTAACTTGAAGCCTTTCCATTGCTGCCATGATGTCTCTTTCCTTATCTAAAATAAAAGTAAAAAATACAATAAAAGTTTAATTGTTCATATAAGGTATAAAATATACCGGTTGATTGTAATGAAATAGTCGGAAAGATAATCTGCAAAATTTGCAAACGCAAGAAAGAATAGAGAAAATAGGCTAAACTTTCCTTGTAAGTGGATTATTCTTATGAGAAAGATAGTTTTTTTTAAAAACCTTTTATAGGAGCACCTTTTATCATGCAATGCGTATTATATTTAAGCTAAACTAAAAACGCATTCTATGAGAAATGTATAGTTCAGAGAAAGGCATTGTTCAGTGAAAATTATTATTTTGAAGATAGAGGTGTTTCAGAGAATTAACACAAGCATCAATTTCATTTGTTTTAATAGGATAGTTAAGAAATATTGATGTTTCCGTAATCAGTTCATGGTCTGGTAGTACTAACAATTTTAGTGCAAAGAGCAATATTATTACCACGTTTCATTACGGACCTGTTAGTTGGACTAATCGGTTTGTCTATCAGATCGAGTGTTAAATGCGAAGCAATTAATCGTTTGAACAGTCTGTTCAAACTAATTATGTATTGATATAGTATCGAGTAATTGGTGACTGTTTACACGATCAATAGCGTACCATTTAAGGTAGAGTCAGCTAAATAAGCATTACTCATTAGTTCAACTAGTAGATTCGGGAAGAAATAATATTGCTCTTTGAATAATAATATTTTTCATTATGCAAAGAAGAGTCTTTTATTAATATACTAATGGTTTGGGTGCTAAAAGTTAAAATGAACCTCGATTGAGTTCCCATTCGGATACATTATACAATAGAGGGTTAATATTTTCAATATTGTGTATTCACCTCGTTGAAACTGTTCTAAGACAATCTGCAAATTAGTCAGAGATGCAGCTTGGGACAAGATTGTATCTTCGGCAATGGATAACTTGTTTTGTATGTCATCCCTTTGTTGAACGATCAACGCCATTTGCTGTTGCAACGTTTCCACTTGTTGATTCGCTCTGATATTGGCGGACGTGTACGCGGTCGAGCTGGATTTCACTTTTTCTTCGGCTTGCAGCAACTTTGCTTCCAACTCGTTTCGCGCTTCCTCGGCGATCAGAGCTTCTTCTGTGTAGCTTGACTCGATCTCAACCAAGTGCGTTCGTAGCCGTTCCAGTTCTTTCGCAGCGTTCGCCTCTTTACTTTGGCTCTCTGTAATCTGATGCTGCAGCATCCTGTTGTTAGACTGCTCCTGTATCAAAGCTGCCTCCAATGCGTTGCACTTCTCGTTAAGAAGCGCGATCTCTGCCATTTGCGCGGAATGTTCGACGATTCCGCAAGTTTCACTGCTGCTCGAATTTTCGACGTTCTTCAAACGTTGCTGAGCTACCTGCAACTCGTTTTTCGTCCACAAAAGTTCCGCATTCTTCTCCGCAAATTGAGATAAACTTACATCTCTCTCCGATGCCAAGGCTTGGATTTGCGATGCTTGCTCGTTCAAGAGATGCGTCAGCCTTTGAATTTCACCGTGATATTGCAAGCTCTCGTTATGCTTTGCCGTAACAAGCTTGACGAGTTCGTCTCTTTCGTTCTTTATAGTCGCAAAACTATCAGACGTTTCCGTACTATTTTTCACAAGGTCAATCGTTGCTTTCAAACCATTGATTTCTTCATCTTTCTCCTTGATGAGATGGGATAAGCTTTCTATCGTTTGCTTCGCCATATCGGTCGATTCCGTATTACTTTCGACGATATTCTGTAGTTTTTTTTGCGATTCAAAGATTTCCGCCATCAGTTTGTCGTTATCATTTCTCAGGGCATCGTTTTCTCGCGTCTTTTCTTCTAACAGTGCTATAATTTGTTGCTTTTCATTATCACAGGTATTTTCGTTTGCATGATTTACTAACTCCTTCTTTTGCGCTTCCAGGGATGCCATTTCCTGCTCTAATCGTTTACAATTATTTTGTATCGTTTCATTCAGACTAATTAAATTTCTATTCTCCTCCGTTAATTTGGAGAAGTGTTCTTGTAAAGCTATTAGCGTCTCCTCCTTCGCGCGTAGCGTTTCCACTTCTTTTACTAATTGAGTGTAATCATTTTCTACGGAACTTAGTCTCTCAACGATGGACATTGTACGATCCAATTCGTTCCTCAATTCATCCTGTTTTACCATTTCGCTTTGAAGATTTTCACTCTGCAACCGAAATTGCTCAGCTTTCACATTCGCACACGTAAATTCGTCTTGCAATTTCGTATACTTCTCCTCCGTCTCGCGTAATCGTTCCTTAAGTTCATTTAGTTCTTTCTCCTTGCTCGCGTCTATTTCTTTCAATTCCATCTGTTCTTGTTCGAGCAAAGTCTTCTCCGTATTTACCAAGTCTATCTTATCATTGGACTCGTCTTGAATAGCAGTCAGTTGTTCCAGTAACGAATTTTTCTCCTTCATTAAATTTTCATTATCTTGACTTAATTTCGCTATGTGGCTCTCCTTCGAGTCTATCTGATTCAACGCCTGACCCAATTTCCATCGCATGTCCAAAATATCGTCTTCCAAATAGTCTTTCTCGCAACTGACTATGTTGAGCTGTTTCTGTAGATCTTGCAATACGTCCTTGTTCTCCACTTTTAGATTGATTTCACGGCATTTCGAGATCTCAGTCTCCAGCTGCTCAATTTTAAGGGACAGTTCCTCGTTCTTCTTGTCGACCTCGTCTTTCGCGCTCTGAGACAGAACCAGATTAGTTTCTAATTGTTCCCTAACGGAAATCGACGTCTTTAGTTCTCGCTTCACGTTCTCGAGCTCGAGCTTCAGTTCCTCGATGAATTTGATATTCTCGTTCAAGCCTTTGGACTTCTCCATCGACATCCTGAGCTGCTCCTTCTCCGTGTTTACCAAGTCTATCTTATCATTGGACTCGTCTTGAATAGCAGTCAGTTGCTCCAGTAACGAATTCTTCTCCTTCATTAAATTTTCATTATCTTGATTCAATTTCGCTATATGGCTCTCCTTCGAGTCTATCTGATTCAACGCCTGACTCAATTCCCATCGCATGTCCAAAATATCGTCTTTCAGATAGTCTTTTTCGCAACTGACTATGTTGAGCTGTTTCTGTAGATCTTGCAATACGTCCTTGTTCTCCTCTTTTAGATTGATTTCACGGCATTTCGAGATCTCAGTCTCCAGCTGCTCAATTTTAAGGGACAGTTCCTCGTTCTTCTTGTCGACCTCGTCTTTCGCGCTCTGAGACAGAGTCAGATTATTTTCTAATTGTTTTCTAACGGAAGTCGACGTCTTTAGTTCTCGCTTCACGTTCTCGAGCTCGAGCTTCAGTTCCTCGGTGAATTCGATATTCTCGTCCAACCCTTTGCACTTCTCCATCGACATCCTGAGCTGCTCCTGCGTCTCCTTCTCCGTGTTTTCAAGTATATCAACTTTTCTTTGTAACTCCTCGTTCTCGTCCAATGTCGCGTGCAATCTGCGATTCAGATTCTCCATTGCGCTGTCGGTCTCCTCGATACATTCCGGAATGTCTTCTAATTTCGTTAGTTTTCTATTTCTAGACCCAGCTGCTGTATACCCTTGATTGTCTAACCGTATTTCGCACAGCCCGCCTCCACCAAGTTTTCCGTTTTCCCTCTTCAATGCCGCGTTTTCAGCTTGAAGACGTTTCACTTCCTCGTGCAAGGACTCCGATTCAGACTCCAGCCAAGCGACGCGTTCCTCGCTCGCCTCCGGTATGGACGGTAAATTTAATTTTAAATCTTGTATCTCTAATACCAGCGTGTCGATATGCGTCTGCATATCGTAGCACTCGACCTGTAAATTGTCCTTCATTTCCACAGCCCCCTTCAGCTCTCGGTTGAGATCCGTCACTCTTTTCTCCAACACGTCCTTTTTCCATTTCGCATCCACGTATTGCTTCGCTACAGCCTCGAATATCGACACCCCAGGCTCTGTTTCTACGAGCGAATTCTTCAAAATATCCTTCACCTTCGCGGTTAGCTCATCGATAGCAGTCTTATCGTTCCTCTGCTCGTCTAATCCAAGAGCATCCGTCTGGACGAGTCTGTCCTCGATCTCCAAGGGAGCTGTTTGCACAGGATGAGATACTGTCTCGATTTCGACATGCTTAGTCGTGTTTGCGAGTCTACTCTCCAACTGGACGACCTTATCCTGAGCTTGGTTGTAGTCTACGTAGAGTTGCTCGTAAGCGTTTTGAAGGCACTGGTGCTTCTTTTCGATGTCCCCCTTGAGAGTCAGCAGTTGCTCTACGAGTTAAGAGAATGGTTAATGGTACAGTGAGATTTGAGAGATCATTTATACCCTGCGACAAAAGTGAAGGATCGCTTTGTGATCATTAGAAAACAATGCCAAATCGTTCAGAATTCCTCTGTTTTGTGATCATGCAGGAAGTGTAAACATTTAGGTTGTCATCACGTTCACGTTACTTATTGTTCTGCTATTCAAATTAATATGTGAAATATATCTTTAAGTATTATGAGAAAATGTAATCACTCTTTGCCCAATGTAGCAAAGTCGCTATAAAATTTTTGTAGTTTTTTTTATTAAATATAAACACAATTTGTGGCATGATCTTATTGGATGGCTTAATATCTTTTTCATCATTTCTCATGTAGAAACATTAAACTTTAGAGTCTGATCTTTGATTTTGTCTGATTTTTATGAGGATCCAGTTTTTCTTTAGAGAGTTGTCGAGATTTAAAGGAAGTTCTGAGTCTATCGGTTAACAGAAGTGAAGAAATGAATTGTTTAAGGAAGTACTCTTTTTTTCTGGGCCAGAAGAATGCTACTTTTTTCCTGTCACTAAACAATTTCGCATAAATATTTTGATAAAAAGGAAGATTTAAGTTTAAAGCGTCGTCATTTCGAAAATATTCTTTTAACCCCCTATTGGCCGAATTTTTGTCTGCAGACAACTTCGAAAGCAATATTGTTATTGGTTATCAGATACATTACATAATTGAGACGTACATGCCATATTGTGAAAAAAACTAAACTTATTTGGTAAAATGTTGATATATTAGCATGTGATCTGAAAGTTACACAGGCCTATAGACGGTTAATTCTTTTTTCCCCGAATTCACGTTGTAACTACGTTCACAATATAGCATGGATACCATCTCATCAAGGTATTCCTGGAAACGAAAAAGCTGATCTAGCAGCCAAGGAAGCAACAAATAATACCACAAATCACGAAATACCGATCCTTCTGCAAGATATTAAAAGACACTTACGCGATTGCATCAACAAAAAATGGAAAAATATTTGGAAAACAGAAAAGACACTAAAAATCCATAGTATAACAGATGATTTTTTCGAACAATCACCCACAGGACACATCAACAGACTAGAACAAGTCAAAATTACGCGCATCAAAATTGGACATACAAATTACACGCATAAACACCTACTTGAGAAGACCGTTAGACCCACCTGCCGTACATGCAACGAAATTCTAACAATAGAACATATAATATTTACTTGTAAAAATACGGAACCACTCCGCATACAATACGATCTACCCACTAGTTTAAAGGAAGCGTGGAGCACAAAAGAAAACTTAAATAAAATAATACAGCTACTTAAAGATGCACATATATGAGCCAACATCTAACATTGGAGAAAATCTTACAAGAAACTGTTGTTAATAACCAAAGGTTGATGCGACGTTAAATATGTAAAAAAAAAAAAAAAAAAAAAAATAATGAACAGAACAAAATCTGTTTTTGTTGGTTCGGAAACAAATTGAAGAGGACAATTGTAAATTTAACAGAATCTTGTACATACACTTCTAAATAAAAAAAAAGAGTATTCCTTTAAATTTCACCCATGACCTCATAGTTGAGAAATATTAAACCATTTTTCTCTATCTGCTTGTAAAGGATGTTTGAAGAAACATCGTGGAAATCGTTCAGTAGTATTTGAAAGCTCAAGCGATCCTTTAAGTTTGTCGTTGAGAGTAGTTGGAATCGTGATTTCTATAGACAATCTTACTTACCTATCGATTCCTCGTGCTGCTGATCCAATTGCTCGACGCTCGTAAACAATCGTTTATTTTCTTCCTGGAGCTCCTCGATTTTCTTGTACAATTCCGATTCCCTATTGTTCGATGCCTCGATAAAGCCATCGTTCCGCTTTTGGAGATCCGAATCGACGTCGAAGTTAGGCTTCACCGCGACGGATTCGTGGCCTACGGTGTTGTTGTGCTTTTTAAGTTTCTCATCCGAGTCCGATTTTTCCTGTTCATTAGCGTCGCTGTACTTTTCATTTTCCGTTTCCAAAGCTTTCAGCGCGTTCCTGACTAAGCCTAGCTTCTCGAGGGAGTTCAATTTGGACAGTACGGTGCGGAAATCGTTGATCAAGGCCGTTTCATCTGATTGCATGCGTTTTGTATTCCTCTCTGCTTCTCGGTTCTAATCAAACATTCAAATATTGAATGGTGGTTTGCATGTCATTTGCTACAAACGCGGGTCTAATTGAAGAGCTTGAAGAGCACGAGACCTCTGCTGTGAGTAGACTTGGCTCGATTTAGACCTGTACTGTTTTTGTATCAGTATCGGCGTAGATACAGTTTTATGTTATTCATGGAACTACGACATATTCTTTTCGTTGTTTAGTTTAACGGTAACAATTTTATGACGAAATTAAACTTTTTCTTTAAAATTCTGTTCCAATGTTACAGTCCTTTCATTTATTTTACTTCGGGTATTTATGATACATTTGGAATACACGTGCAAAGTTTAAGATTCACATGTAATGTCCAGTAGTTTGCTAAATAAAAGGGATCAAATATCTTACTTTGAGTTTAAAAAAAAAAACTAAGTTCGTTTCAGTATTAAACAGTTTGATCTTTGTTGCGAGAATACCGACTACAGATATTTGTTTAGTATCATTGTAAAACTTTGGAAATAGACTCGATTCAACGATTCATTTTCAACGCGTTATACACTTTTCTTCAACGACCAAAACATGTTATTTCATTACCGACTATTTCACCGTTTAGTTGCGAGTCATTCCTGGCTCGCTTAATTAAACACTGTAATACGAGGAATATTCCTTAATAGAGCTAACGTACTTCAAAGTCCAAGCGTATGCTTGAAATAATTAAAAGGGAACTGTGATTTTCTTGGTCTCGTATTATTTAGACATTGAAAATTTTATTTTCTTCGGGAATAACTCTTCAAATGTGATTATTTTTCTTATCTAACGGTAATGTTTTTTATACCTTTTCTTCCATTTGTATTATTCGATTCACCATGTCCTGCTTGGCCCTCAGGAATTCTGCTTTCTGATGTCCATCGGCGAGTTCCTCCTTTAACGAGGAATTATTAACCTACAGCCAATAAAAAAGACTTCTAAGACCTTCGTTTTGTGGATTTGTAATTAAAATTAGTTTAAATCGACGTTTGAGCGGTATTAATTATTGGCTCTCTTTCAGAATACGAAAAAATTCTACCAATAACATTGCATGAAATTAAAAATTAACAATTTGAACTGATTGTATGAAGTGATATGAGAAACAGGAGGACAAGGGAAGGAAAGATAAACGTTTTTAATGTCACGTTTTAATGTCATCACTGTTAAAGAAACATTTCTTTCTCTATCGAGCAAGCAAGATAAAATCATTAATAATTATTACGTGTCCCGAGCATTTGCATTGTGTATTTCGTTCATTTATGTTTATGGTCTATCAAATTGTTCAATTATAATACGCTAAGGATATTATGTGTTCCGAAGGAAAACTGTAGAGAAAGCTTTCCTTTCAACGAAAAATATGAAAAAAACAGTGATCTTGAAAGAACGATTTATGTGAGTTAATACGAAAAATGGTAACATAAAACCTTATTTCTTAGCCACCGTTATGTGTTTAAATATCAAACATTTAATAGTAATTAAAGAATAACGATATTTTGTTACCACTTTTTGCATTAAACTCATGTAAATAATTATTTAAAACGACCACTGGTTTTTCATACTTCTCATTGTGTTTTTGTATTTGTATATTATAAAGTATATTTATGTTATAATATTATAAAACATTATTTCATCCTGTACCATACATAATTAGCTTATGAATTTGATAATTATGGCAATTATCGACTTGAATAATAATTTGATAAAATGAGCAGGATTATAAATATAAATAATCGAACGGGTCCAATGTAAATGCGTGGGAAGCTAACACATAATAATTATTCTTCACCGAGATACCATTGAGGATTTATTAATATTTGTTTAGATCCGTTGTTGCTCGGATGGGAGAAATTATGGTTATATGTACATCACGTTGCGTGGGTACGTGTTCATTTCGATCAATGAGATGGCAGTGATACGATTGATTGGAGATAACATGTAATGACATGTGTCATCACGTGTATGTGTGCGTGAAACGGTCGGCGACGAATGGTTAAAATTAAACGCAATTATCTCGAAACAATTGCGACGGTAATTAAGTCCTTTATGTTTAGTGGGTCAGGAGAGACAATGCGATTATTAGGTAGACGGACAAACGAACATACTACGTGAAATTATCAGCAATTTTACCGTTAATGATTTTCGAACGATGAGTCATTTATTTAACCATAATCAACGAGACTGACCCTGTAGTTAACTTTCTAATTTACAAATTTTGTTATTTCTTTAAAAACGAATTTATTTGGCTGTTTACATATCCATGAAAATTATTATTATTAAAATTGCCTCAAAGAAATTCATGGAAATTGTTCTTATTAAATTCCAGATCGGGCATATTATATAATACAGATTTGATACACAGGGTGCTTTATCAAGTATGGGGAAGATCTTGAGGAGAAAATTCAATACATAAAAATGATAAAAAAATTGTCATGAAAATATTTGTACTATTTGACCTTGTTCTCAAGCTGCAGTGGTTTTTATGGGGTTAGCTGCTCATTTCCCTTCAATGAAAGGGACACTGGAAATGTTCAATGCATACTGCTGTTTACAAGAGAAACGAATAAAATAACCCTTGTGATATTCAATATAAATTATAATAAGATAATATACGAGATTTAAATGTCAGTCAGATGTATAAAGTTAATTATACCACCTTAGTTTACAACAAGCATTATGACCAAGGGAAATGATCAGATAGGATAAATCTTTACATCAACACTGTTTCATTATTTCTATGTATTGAATTTATTTAGAGAACCTATATTCATATTTAACGGGCCACCGTGTATAACAACCAAGCGAGTAATTCTATTACTCAGTGTCAATTTGACGTGTCAATTGGACTTAACCAGAGCTACCTTATAAATCGTTCGTTATTTGTTACTCAATTAAGTGTAAATATTGTTTTAATTATTGCACCATTTGGTTAGTCTCTTCCGCTTCTCAAATAAATAAATAAACTTTCGAAATACCCTAGTACGAATATTAAAACATAATTACAATAATAACGTAGAATAGTTTGCACTAGCCGTCAGCTAATACTACAAATTATTTTTAATGTTGTAACATTTTCGCATTTATCCTAATGATATAAATTTTGTTTGAAACTGACAAGAAAGAACAGTTTACCTTTTGAACACATTTTAGTTCGGTTTCTAAGTCGCGTATCCTCATGGTGGCTTGTGCCAACTGTTCTTGCAGCTGTCGCACGTGATTCTGATTTTTCGAATTTCGATTTTTAGCGGACAGTGGATCCCAAAAGAACACTTCGCCTTCATCATCTTGGTGTGTGTCGTTCTGTAACAAAAAGAAAATCGTAATATTTAGTACTTTGACAAAATCGTAGGACATTTTTGAATAAAATTGAAGAGGAATTTTAGCCTAAATTTGCTTTACATAAAAAGCGCTATATTTGCTTCACAAATATACAAGTATGAAATTCAACAGAAATAAGCATATGTTCTTGAAAAAAATTCTTGCAATATGTAAAAACACAAAGATATATATTAATAAAATTCAAAGTTGATGTGTCTAATACTTTTCCTTTGAAAAGATTCAAACTAGACAGACTTCCATATTTCGGAGCGTGAGGTCTTAATAGGTCTTATAGATTAGCTACTTTTTCATTAAGAGGTCTGAAAAGGAATGTTATACACTACTTACAAGACGAAAGCATAATAGACTAGAAGTTTACAACATCCTGTTTTACCTATTTATGCTACAAATACGAGGGAATCTATTTATTGGTTAAATCAATTTGAACAGGATGACGTTAAGAGCCCGTCGTGTATCGTGTTTAATTATTGTTTCCACTATAAATAATATACACTGCTGGCATGGCAAGAACGTAAACAGCCTGGAAGTTTACTAAACCCATTTTTACCTATTTATGCTACGAATCTGGGGGTGCCTATTTAAAGGTTAAATGAATTAAAGCAAAAATGCGTTAAGAACCCTTTATGCATCTATCTAATTTTACTCGTGTCTACCGCAAATATTAGATTATACAGGGTGTTCGGTAACTGGTGGTACAAGCGAAAAGGAGGTGATTCTACATGACAAAAATGAGTCGAAAATATAGAATAAAAATTTGTCATGCGAGGCTTTGTTTTCGAGAAAATCGACTTTGAATTTTTGCCGGATACGGGTGCACTTGATCATGTCCCGTTAAAACGGAAAGATAGATTATTTTCTCACATGATAAATTTGTATTCTGTATTTTCAACTTCTTTTTTTCATGTAGAATCACCTCCTTTTCGCTTGTACCACCAGTTACCGAACACCCTGTATAATCTTCCGAATGATATAGAAACCAAATTTTAGCCTTGCGAAAATTTTCGCTATTAGTCTAGAAGTCAAGAAGGTGTGAATAAAATCGAAGATAACTCGCAACCCTGACCACGAGCTGTCGATGCGTGTTATCGATCATTGTTAGCAGCATCTTTAACGGGAATCCGTGAACGATCTCGCGACTAAACGTAGTCGACGTCGATACACGGTAGCGGTTTGTCTTTGAACGCACGCGAATCGTGCCACGTTGACGTTCCTCCGAGGTGAGTCGAAGCAGGATGCGACCAGCGAGCGAGCGTATGATTAGTAACTTAGTATTGTTATGCACGTTTACATAAGAGCCTCGCGTCGTTGTGTGCAGTGCACTTAGTATGGCGGTGTACGATCGTGTGCTCCCGCGAGCAAAAAAAAAAACGAGAGAAAAAAGACGACAGGTGGGGAGAGACACACTTATGCAATCCAAATTACAAATGGTCACGGGTCTTCGAGGAAGAGAAAGAATACAGGCAACTCTCGGTTTACGGACGAGTTTCCGTTTCGTCTGCGTCAGGCGACCATTTTAAAGAATTAAAATCACGTACGAGATATCCAATGGCGCATACGCATCGCGATACGTTTTATTGTAGTAAAGGGTTTCAGGATTTTGTGATTGTGATTGATAGGATACAAATGGTATTTTCTTTTTTTTACTTTCTTTCTCTTACTGTTCTGCAGCCCGAGATTCAGCTCATTGCTGCTGATATAAATGGCATGGAATATATACGATTTTTACACAAATTGTGGTACCTGTTTTTAAACAATTACACGTGGAATGTGATGTCGTTTAACCCTTTATTTACTGGCGGGTACTGTATTAATTAAACGCTTTGGAACCTATTGTGACTTTCAAGTCCACTCCTCTGAAGTTCGTTTTTAATTGTTGGATGACAGTACAAGCTTTTCTTCAGCTATGTATTTTACCAGCTTCTGAAATTCTTGAATGGTCAATTCCATTACTACCTAGGAGCATAATATTGTTATTACGAAAACACAAGATTTCTTCCTTACTCCATTTAGCAACTGAACTTATATAGACACGTTCATGAAAAACTATTGTCTCGTTGACAAAGAAACATTTTACTTTTTTAAACAAAATCGATCAATTATGGAAGCATACTTCACAGAAACCCTTTTTTTATAATGAACTGCTCAATTATTAACAACACCATTGCTGGAATTATTGAAATAGGGACTTAACACTTTATCTATCGGGCTATTTAGAAACAGACTTTAATTCAAGAAAGAATTTTCTACAGTATCATATGTCAATCTAGGCTGACAATAATTTCTCCATACTGTTACTGGGTACATTGAAAGCCAAGTCTGTTTCCAAACACTGAGCATTGTAACCAGACACAACCATCAGCACAGTAAATAGATTCGAATAGCTAAATATTGCAATTAAAAAGCCTAAAAATAGGCTCCCGGTAAATAAAGTGTTAATTATACTGATGAATTGATTTATCCCTACCTACTTTCAGTTTCTAGGATATAGTAGTATACAATATGGAAGGTATGCGTTGATCGAAGGTAGATTTAGCGCTGAAGTAATTAGCTTTAGTCTCTGATTAGTCTAGACCCAATAACGTTCGTACCAAATGCGGTATTCGGTTCTCAGATTGCCCTCTCGATGGAAACGATGTCAAGATTTTACGATGTAGAGAGACCTTATAAAAGCCTCGTTAATTTCACAGGCATTGCCTGGATTATGCAACCGTATTATTCGTCGGTTGTTGTTTCATTTTTTTTTATCCATGCACAGGACACTCGAATTGCAACGAGCCGAGCCGGACAACTCAATTGAATGCAATTCGCGCGTCGATCCTAGGGGTAAATTGAATCCCCATTGAAACTCAACCTGGCTAAATAACGCCGAATCGTTGGCTCGAATTTTTATGAAATCGCAAGATCGAATAGTAAAATGCCCGCACTCGAAAGCAATTTAGAAAACATAACATTCCAGATTGTATCAAGAGGACTAGGCGCCAAATAGAAGGTTTCTAATCATTGCGGTGGAAACGATTTATTTGAACTGTTCTTACAGATTCACGTGCTTGTATTAGATACTGTTAATAGATTAGTAAATTTTTTAAAACAAAAATGTATGTACATCATTATTGTTTTAAATATCAGTTCTTGTGGAACAAAAATAAGAAAGTGTTTAGGGTCTGCTTATTTGTGGTTTTAACCCTCTATGGCACCGTGCAACCTTCAGATCACATGCTAATACATCGACATTTTAGTTAATAATTTTATTGTTTTTTTACAAGATGACGTATACGTCCTAATTATATAATGTCTCTGATAAGTAGACCACGGGTTATATGCAATTATGACGTGTAATAATAGAAAATATACAAAAAATGTGCATAATACATTATTTATGTACATTATGTGTTGAAAATATTCTACAATTATTATAATGATATTGTTACTTCATTTTGCACATACCGTTTGGTTATGTTTAGTATATGTTTATTATATTAGTTTATATCACAAATACATAAAATTCGCAGTCTACTGATAACCAATAATAATATTGAGGACCTTTGGCATCGTCAACCTGATACATCAAATTAAATGCTTTGCAAGTTGTCTCCAGAAAAAATAAATTCGGTCCATAGAGGGTTAGCAATAAGTGCTACTTCATGATCCTGTAATTTTAAGTGTCTCTTTTGACTTTCTTTCTCCCGTGTTTTCTCTATTTTCGTATTTATATATACCTCTATAATATAAATAATGACGTGCCAAAATCAAGAAATACATCAGGATCAATTATAAACAAAGCTATTAAATTGATGGAAAGAAAATGTAATATAGTTTCCTAACTGTTAGATTAAATTCTTAATGTACAATATGATTGAAGTATCCTCTATAATGTAAAGAATTAATAAGTATTAGTTTCATTTCAAATTTATATCATTTCGCGAGGTCAGTTCGTTCCATTTCTGCATCTATTGAATATTCGGTCCTCCATGGAAAATTCTTCGATAACTTGCGATAAACATTGCGTGATTAATCTTTCCTAATGCTCCAAGCGCTCTTTTTACCATTATTAATATTTCATGACGAAGGCTTCACGTGTAATATTAAATGAAATTATGCGTACAAAAAGATGAGAACTTTTCACGTTCTTCGCGCGAGTATAATTTTCGTAGGCGTAAATATATCATTTTTCTTGAAAATGGGTAAAAATGGTTGAAACGTTGAGAAGCATCGTTATTATGATATCTGTTTTATGTTAAAGCATTTCGATATCATTATATTACATATCATATAACAATACCATTTACGCGATCGATGTCAGCAAAAATGAGATGATTGGACATTTATCATTAAGCGTCAAAGTAATATTTTTAAATAAAGCAAGGGACCGTTAATAATTTACAATTATGCAATAATTCATTGCGTCAGCTGCAGAAGGGCGATCCTTTCGGTTACGATATTGCACGAATGAAATATTAATGAACTTGTAAAACAGGTCAGTGTTGAAAAACGAAGTTAATGTCACTCGAAAAAGAATTTTTTCGAAAACGTGGAAACGCCATTGTGACCAAGTCAATAGAGAAATAGCTTTCCGTTCGTCAATCGATTCTAAAGTCCTTCGTCGTGCATTACCATAATTCTATACAAATTATTCAATGAGCTGTTATTGTAGTCACGTATTGCCCTGACAAAAGACTACAAAACGGTTTTTAATCTACCATAAGTCCTCCATACCCTTTCACAGGGGGGAGATTCACCTTTCGACCGTGTTTCACGTTGTCTAAAGTTCTTTCATCTAAAAGTCAATTCACGGTATAGGTTTCCTTTTTGACCCGCATAATGTGAAAAGCCACGCCAACCATACAGCTTGTGTCGTCACAAAGGTGCATTCCTTAATGCATACTGAAATTCCACCCAGGGTATCATTGATTTTGTGAAGGATATCTCTGTGGACATGTTTAAAACATTTGTAGAATTTCTAA